CGTCTGCTTCGCCTTTTCAAAGGAACAAACAAAAAATTACACTTGCTTGGGTTTACAGTGATTCACGAGTCTGTTCCTCTATTCGAAAATTTCACTCAGCTTATGCGTTATCCTTTCCTCCTTAAATTTAAATAGTTTTAGTTATGGATCAGAGTGGTCCTGTATCAAATTGCCACGTCAGTCTTAATAATCCAAGGGTTTACACACCTGTCAAAACTCCATTTAAACACAGTCGTTCCATTCGCTACATCTGTAACAGCTACTCTGATCCATGTCGAAGAAATTATGATGGTAGCAGCAGGTTAGCCAGAGGGGTTGCTAATTAAACGCCCGAGGGTGGTGAAAGAGTACGATCTAACCAGTTGCAACGTCGATAAGCGTATTTGCTGTAGATTTTCTGCTTCTCCGGCGCATCGTAGCGTGAACCTTTGCTACCGGTTGCATTGACATCCGGTTGTCGGGAACAGACACGGTGTGCCATAAAGTTCGATCGCTTTCAGCGGTTTCTCCCCCCGGGGGTTCGACGCGAATGAACGATCGATCGCTTTCTGATCTATTTAATAAGTGATTTTCGAGCTCATCTGCTATGGCATCAACTGTTCTACGCAATTATTTCACAATCAAAACGATTATTATTATTATTATTATTTATATTACATGATGTATCTAATTAAAAATGAAATAAAAATGTTCAACTAAAGCATCAGAGTAGTTGATTTCTTCTGAAAATACCTACCAGCATCTAATAATCGGAGATGCTACTGGTCGGCGTGAGTTGCTCGCGAATGTACCCAGATATCGATTCCCTCTTGCACCTTCGTCAGAGGAGGAGAAAGAGGAGGAGGAGGTTGGACTAGCCGAGGAACAGAAGGAGGTGGGTACTGGCCGACAGGCTTACTCGCGTCTCACGGACGACAAGAGGGTGATATATTACCACCAACTACCCACCTCCACCCTGTCGGTTCTTCTTCTTCGTACTACGTTTTCCACCGCTAGCGATGGCCTCGAGATCCTGCGAATATATCCCGCACTGTTTTTACAAACTATAACTAGGCGTTATAAAGAATTGCAATAGTTTCGATAACGGGTAATCCGGAAAAAAAATCTCCTCCTTCACCATTTTCTTTTTCAACAGTAGCCACATCTCAATCATTTCGGTAACCCTGTCAAAAAGCTTCTGTCATTGCCGACGTTTCCACCCTTAGGGTCGTCTTCGACGAATCAAACGTCTATATCGTGGCTCGTAATCGCGATTCGGCCACATTCAACCACCCACGCAAACAGGGTGCTCGTGAATTTTCAACAGGGTGTATACACAATGCGGATCGAGCGTGTGAGAAGGCAGAAGGGGACGTGGAAAAGGGGGGCCATTATGGAGATGGATCTTCCTTCGAATAATGTTCGGGACGGGATGAATCGGGGATGGGAAGCTTGAAGTGCGTTCAAGTGCTTGAAGGGGGTTGTTGGGTGGAGAACGAGGAGAAAGGCAACTAAGTATGGGGTTACGGATAGTGACGAGTAGATATTCGATTCTTTTTATCCATCCAAGTTGATACTAAAGATTAGAAAAAATTGCAGAATATTAACAATACGAAATATCCTAAGCCAGAAATAAAATAATGAAAAATAGAGTTAGAAACGTTCCCAGAAGTCTGACTGAGATAGCGGAAGATGGGGCTCGAGAGGCGTATTGGCGAGGAGGCAGGTAGCGTGCACGGAGGCACTCGTTTCGTTTTTCCCGGGATCTAGGACGCGTCTTCGTTACCAGACGATATCTACATTTGGGATTTCACGCGAGCGTAACGTCCCAAAGAGGCGGCAAACAGCAGCCGCTGCCGGCTCTCCGGCAGTTCTCACGCTACGCCTTGCATCTCGCCGACTTTTTTCTTCTCGCTGGTACACGGGAATCGAGCCAACTCTAACCAACGGGCAACACGAACCTTCGGGGGCGAAAGAGCCTCCTATTATGCGTAACTGATCCGCGGCCGCACGAGACCCGCTCGAGTTTCTGCCTCTTCTTCTTCTTCTTCTTCTTCTTTTTCTCTTCTCTCTTCTCTCTTCTCTCTTGCTTTCTAGTCGACGCGTGTTCTGAATAATAAAATATCAAATTCTATGAGAAATATCGTTTTGACAATAGTTTGTTAAGATGGAAATGGGCAACGTTCCTGAGAATAAGGGAGGAGAAGCCGTAGGTTTCGCGTCGCGCGAGCTCTGCAGCTGCTGGATCTTATGCTAATCCCACCCCCGCAGGCTAACCCTGGCGCTCGCATCGCATGAAAAAGTTGCTCGTTACACGCTCGCCCATAAATCTCTTGGCTAAAGCTTAATCTGTTCGCCGGGGCCACCCCTCGACTAGCCGCGGAAAACTCGAGACAGAACGGCAGGTGCAGCCGAGGCTGAGGATTTTCATAATTTTTTATCCTTCGGCGAAATTTCCAATCCTCTCGCGTTCCGCGAAAACTTACATCCCCGCTGAATCTCGATTATATCCGGGGCAAAGCAGAACCTTCCACCTCCGCTGAGATTAACCTCTTAACTCGAACGTCTCCCGCGATCGGAACTGATGTTATCTCAGGATTGTTTTATCAGGGGGTTACGCTCCTTCCTTTCCGTCAAAGTGTAAATCGCTGATTTTGGTGCGACTACAATTTGCAATTCGAGGAAATCGATTTTCCTTCGCTAGAAGAGTATTTACAAGCTGTCGTGTCCGGGTATTCGCGCGATAGATCAGTCCAAGCCGACAATACTTTGTGGCAGGATAAAAAATCGAGGAAATGGAGGAAATCAAGGTAAGAGAAGAAAGTAGAGATAGGGAGAAACGTTAGAATGCCGGTTTCTCACTGCCGGAGGGGTAAAGGTAGATGGAGCTAATTGAATACTCGGGGGCAGGATTGATGCCCTCTGTCAGTAGCCGTGTACAGAGGCATCGGCGTAATAGACGTATTACCCGAGCTTTTACGGGCAATTATGCTAAGGCCGAAAGCTGCTACCTGGCCTCGCTGCTAGCCGTCACGTCTAGATAAATGCAGCCGGTCGGCCGGGCCGTTGCGTAAGCCTAGGCGCAGCTCGATAGCTAGCGCGATGATGATGCTACGCTGTACCCCGACCTGCAATCGGCACGAAACTCCCTATTCCCCGGGATGATTGCCGGCTCGATCCGTGTCCCGCCTCGAAACTTTCCCCGCGGTTCGCTGCCGTAATCATAAGGATCCGTGAACGACCGGATCACGGCGTAACGCGCGCTTACAACCGCTCCGTGAATATACGCGATCAACGCTCTATCCAGACTACTGCCTTCCATGTCATATGCGGGCACACTTTATTTCAGCAGTCCTATCAAATTACATCAAATTACCTTTATTAGTAATAACTTGAATCCAGTCTACGTATCGATAACTTTTAAGTTCGGCAAGATTTTTCTATCATCTTCTGCAATGTCTAGTCAAGGGGATGAGAAATAGACCTGGTGTCATTAGGAGAATACAAGATTCCAGGTAGTGTACCTGGAAGCTCTGACGACGGCTGCATGGAGCATCGTGCAGCAGCAACGGCAGCAGAGGCAGTAATGGTGGCGGGGTAAGACGGAGACAGCTGGAACGGGGAGAATAAAGTAGAATAGACCGGAATGGAGAGTACAAGGTGTATGCCTAGAAGGTACAGAGAGAAAATGGTAGCCAATGGCGTTGGCTCAGCGTCGTTGCTACAGTATTGAACGTCTCCTACGTGGGCTCCAGGAGATCTCTCTCGCTTTCTCTCCCAGTTGCTTCTCTTTGCACCCCCTCCCAGTCCCTCTACTCTCGACCACCGTTTTCCTCTTGGTCTCTCGTCCTCCGTCGCCTCCTCTCTCGCGGCCGTCACTCGCACACCGTCCGTTTCTCTCTTTTCTCCGTCCCATGCCGCCGCCTTTCCATCTTTCTCCTTCCCTCCGACCGCTTCTCGTGACCCGACGACGTCCTCCCTCCATCCTGGTTCTAGGGTGGAGACCCACCCTGCGTCCTCCTCCTTGTCCGTATTCCTCTTCGTCGTCTCGCGTCCGACAGGGTGCTGGTGGGAGGACTCCGCTAACCTCTCTCCATTGCGGACCCTATCTCTCGAGTCCAGAGCCGAGATCCGAGCTTCCACGAGCTGACCGCCTCTCTATCCTTTCATTAATATACACAGAGACACGACCTCCGCAGGTCCCGGCTGCTCTGCAAGCACCCTCCCCTCCTCATTGGCTAAGACTTGCGGCGACATTTCAAAGTACCTCTTTCGGACAATCGTAGAACTTGATGGGATTTATGGGACCTTGAAATGATATTGATACGATCTAGGAAATAGTCTTGCTGATTTTTTAGCCTGGATTCATCTGAAATAATTGGGATTATGATTAGTACTGGGTAATTATGTTAGGAGATGGAGGGAAGAGGGAATAATTTTGTCCAGAGTCTGTTAGTGGAATCTAAAATCTATTTACACCTAAAAGTCTTTGTAATTTTAGTTGGTCCACTAACAAGAGAGTAATTTGGAAGTGGTCAAGTTCAGCGGGTACTTGCGAGAAAGTAGATATCGCACTGATCCCCCTAGCGGCGAGTATAGGAAGTTCAGAAATTATACACCAATTTTGAGCCTACAACATTTAAATGATATTATGATTTATTCAACAAAACAATGACGACTATAATATTGCCAAATATCAGAGATAAGCTGCTAATTAAATAGATATTCTTCTTTTCTTTTTTCTTATTTAAGGCACAGGAGAAACTATAGTACTACAAGTACTATAGTACGATAGTATTAAATACATATCATATGAATACTATAAAAATAGAAAATAGTTTAGAGCTTTATACAAAATCGTACCGACACGTTTAAATAATAGGTAATAATATGAAAATATTACTGAGTTAAAAAAATAATTAATCATCTCGATTCCCCAAACTTAACTTCACCTTTCAGCGCGCAGTCTATGTAAACGGCTTCTAAAGTCTTCATAATTTCAATTCTACTTATCAATTACAATTGGAGTATGTACAGTTTCTTTTTCAACTTCTGCAACTTTTTCATCTGTATGCACTCATTTCATAAAGATACTAGCAACCTTAGTGTTATCACAGGCTTCTATTTCTTCTTTTTCTTTTCGACCTTAACATTATCGTCTTCCGAAGAATCTAAAATTATTACTTCATCAGACTTTCTTTTCTTTGTTTCGGTGTTGACGGTTCTCGATAAACTCTCCTTTGACACATTGGAAACCGGCTCACCCTCTTTGCTGAGGGTGATGAAGGTCGCTCTCTTTGGAGCTTTCCCTCCAACAGGTTTAACCGAAAGTGAAGAAGAAGCCGTACTGTTCTGTGCAGTAGTTTCAATCGGACTAGCGTTTAAGTGTTTCTTCATCTCTTCTTGACTGATCTTTTTTGTAAACTGAGTGATCAGAGACACGTTCTTCTTCTCTTTATCCTTGTCTTCTTTCTCCAGTTTCTCTGTGGCCTCGTTGAAAATTGACCTCCGCTTCGGAGTCAGGGTGTACGACCACTGGTTCGGTAAAGGGAGGTCCTCCTTCATATACTCCTTCCTAACTTCTTCAGAAACGTACCAACAAGCCTTCAGATGCATAGGTCCCTCCTCAGAGCACATCATCCATTTACCAATTTCGCAAATCTTTTTCATGAGTCTAGCTTTCGACATTTGATACTCGCTTTCGCCCTCTTTGTTTAAGTAAGCGAGAAACTCTTTTACAAGGAATTTTTTACCGTGCACGTTTCCGTGAAGCAGCCGGATCAAGTCGGGTAGCACTGCTTCAGGAACTTGACTCTTCTTCGAACTCGATAGTGCCGACTGCTGCGAGGGTGTACCACACTCGGTGGGGTTCATTGTTTCGTTTTCAATTATGACTGGTAGCGCGACCGGTATCTGACGTACCCAGGCTTCGTGGGCTGTCAAGAATTCTCTGGTTCTTTCAGGCACTGCAAACAAGAGAACAGCAAATGTAATTAAAGACGAGTAAAGAGCGAAGATGGATGGAGCGAAGGAATATTCACCATTTGGTGGAAATTCATTGTTAGGTCCTCTCCAAATGCAACCAATTATTTTCGGTTTCAATTTTGATGTCTTTCTACTCCTTTCGGATTCGAACTGTTGGCCCAGAACTTTCAACTTGAACTTCTGTGTTTGAGGATTCTATGAAAAATAAAAATATGTTAAGCAAAAGATTTTAGCATATTTTATACGCATAGAAACATATTGTATACCATATCTTCCTCGTCTTCTTCATCGGCTCTGACCTCTTCGTTCGACAAATATCTGAATTATTAAAAATAGGAAGATTGTAGGTGAATAAAATTGCCTCTTATCCAAATCATTGTTTGGCTTACCCGTGAGGGACCATAAATTCATTGTCAACGTCGTACTCGTTGTCTTCTGGATTCTCTTCATCTTTTTCTTCCTCTGAACCATGCAGAGACTCGCCTGGCTCTTCCTCTTCCCACTCTTCGTCTGAATCGACTTCGTAATTGAACCATTTCTGAAAGAAAAAAAGAAAACATAAATACTATCTGTTCTATCCGTAAACTGAAATATAAGAGAGTGCAGAGGCGAATGAGTTGGGCCCACGCATCAAGGGTCCTCTACATTTTCATGATTTCAAAGGGTTAAAATCAAGGTGTATAGGAATTCATTAAAAGTCATTATCGTCCGTTTTCCATGCGGTTTATTTTAGTTATGATCACGGCCACTGGATTTCACTGAAGTCTGCCGTGATTAAGCAGGACGTCGGTATCAATGCGACTTCCTTGACGAGCGATATCTCGCCAGCCGTCCCAGCTCTAACGCACGTGCTGCTCCTCTCCGATTCTCTTTAGTCTCCGAGCGATATTCGCGAACGAATCGGTGCTCTCAAAATGTAGATACTCTCTACACTCTTTCTACACCCGCCTCAACTACATAGAAATAAAAAAAGAAAGTCGAAATAATCTTCGACTCGATGGTGTAGAAAATTTCCAAATAATCATTTGGGATTTTAATTATCAGTGAAGATTCAAGGATATGTGTTGAAGGTGAAAATAATGTTTTATAATAGTTGAGAAACAAAGGGGCACGGAATAATCGTGTCGTTTCCCTTGTGAAAAATTATCAAATTTGATTCGATGGTGATTAACGTTTTGTTAAGCCTTCTGGTTTCTTGCGAAAAATCGCGATCAAAGTGAACGCAACTTGGTAGCTTATATTAGTAGCTATTTTTGACCCGTCTATTTAATACGATACCGCGGCCAATTCAAATATTACTCCGAGGATTTAACGATCACCCTGTTCCGCTAGCGAAAAGGTTTCTTCGAACGCGTGATTTGCGTCGATCAATTTCCAACAAAACGGACGACAAAACGGAGCCGTCTCGTTGCGTATAATAAAACGCAATCCACGGTCCCGTGGATCGTGCAGAACGCCGCCGAAAAAGTCAATAAATCGTCAGGTTTTCTCTTTGTGCCGAACGCCGAACGCCGGACGATACCTTCCCTCGATATATCAACGTCCATTTCATCCCCGAGCGGACATCAATTACTACAAGACCATCTCGAGACGTTCATTTATTATTGAAAAGGAAACGTAATATCGTGGATGATCGGTGACTCGAAGGTGTTTGATACGTAACGCGGAAAACTTGCCGACGCTTGTTCGCGAAAAAAAAAGACGAGACGAGACGCGGGGTGCAGCTTACGGCAGCCTAGTAAAGGTGAGTGCCCCTTTTCTGCCATTTTTATTTTATATTAAAAAATAGTGTTTTTGCTATGTACGAGACAAGCAGTAAAAATATCGTAAACTTGTGACAAGATCATCGAAACACCGTCAAACACCATCCATGTCAGCGTTGACAGAGCACTTGATTTTTTTTTTTCAAGCATGGTTGCTCTGTTTCGACGATCTGTATCGAGTCGAGTACCTTTTAAGGGGCGATAAAACGTATCTCACGCTTCTAGGAGAGAGACCACTCGACTTTATTAAATCGTAACTTAAAAAGGAATTACAATCCTAATCAAGAAATGCTGTGAAAGTTCATAAACCCGAAGATACAGCCTCAATTCCACGGTCAGTTTATCATCATTTTGATAAAGAGCCAATTGAAAACATAGTGGCAATAGGCAGAATCAAACGTATCGAATCTCGAAGAAAATAAATTTCAAATTCAACTGGTTTCTTTCTAGAGGTTGATAGAAAAAGGAATCCCTCTAGTTTGAAGGGTTGCATGAGCCGTAACAAGAGCCAGAGGGTAACAGTGGAACGTTGTCTGACTGATGCGGTGTACACGCATTATTTACAGCGTGTTGTCACCCGCCGGGCCATCTGTAATGGCTGTTTTATGCTCCATTAAGATTATGCCCGGTGCTCCTCGTCGTTGCACACCGGAGATTAAATCCCTCTGTGTCGAATTGATTTATTTCCGAATATATTCGGTCCCTGCTGCACGCACTAATCTAACGATCCCTCTTTCTGTCTCCTCGAAACTCTATTAAACTAGCAATTTTCAACATTTATACATGTATTTACTGATGAAAAAGAAGGGAACTTTAGTCCTTGTAATCCAGTCGATAGAGAGAACACGAGCGATTAAATACGTTCAATTTATATCCATACATACATATGTAGCTCTATCGATATACGCTTTTGGTGTTAATGGTTTCAAGCGATAACGCTGATACCATGATTAATGGCATGTAACATCCACAATTACAAATCGATTATGAGATAGCTTATTAAAGATGTCGTAATAAAATGTACAGTATGTAAACAATTTTTCCTTCTTTTTTTTTCAATTATAGTAAACATTGAGTAATGTATGGTTCAATACTGAAACCCTTTCAAATTTCACTGACAAAAGAATACCATGATAGCAAAATCGATAAATCAGTGAACTTCTAAGAAAATTCCAAGACCAACTATGGAATTGTTCTAGTAGACAGTACCCCTAAGATGGTGATTTTAAAGAAAAAATTGAATATAAAAAAGAAGGGGAAATGGAATGTTTCAAACTCATTTGAATAATCAGATGTACATACATGTGGTTTCAATAAATTTGATTCGAGCAAACACCTCGACGATTCGAAGTGTGAAATCTGAAAGAAAGGGAAGAAAAAGAAAGTGGCTCGAGCGATACGAAGATACGCGTTGCGATTGCGACGAGCAAATTGAATCGCAAACTTTTTTTTTTTTTAATTATTATTTATCGGTGTGCAAAGTGACGCAACGGGCCGCAATTAATAAATCTCTCCCGAGGGTAGATACCGCGCAATCTTCGCGGCAAAGTCAGATGAATTTCTGACATTTCAATCGACCGGCTACAAACGACGAGGCATTTCAAATGCGTCATTAGATAAACACTTTGTTATCTGTCACAACGCACGTATTTCATGGAAAACCTACCATATGATACGCTGAAGATGGAAAATCTACAATGAACATAAAAAATTAGAAAAAGATAAATAAATAAATTATTACGTGGTAACGTTTAAAAGCGAAGAATTAATCCAATGATATAAATGTAAATTTCTAATTTGGAATGTCAAAAATTCCTAAACTTCATTATCTTGAATTACGATATTGATGCGATTTGGGATTTCCTCGTTCATTCCCAAAAGCGTAACGGATCGTTTGCGTAAAAGATACAAGCATCTCGCGATGAATCCGACATATTGATAAAGAGACATCGATAGATCGATGTCGACGAGTGGTGGTCTGTTTTTCATAACGCGCGCGAACGCGTAATTAGATCCATTAGCGCCGTGCCAGCTATAAGCCGATTATGTATATATCCTCCACCCTTATTCTTTTACTTCAATTCTAACCCCGTATGAAGCTCTTTCTCCCTCCATCCGTGGTAGGTCACGTTGTATAGTGCTTTCAAATAACAAGTGTCAACGATCTAGTTAATACAATTGCAGAATCGAAGGAAAAACGTAAAAGCAAGACATAGATTATTCAAACAAAAGCCATAAAACTTCATGAACGCAAGGTCAAGACATTGCATCGCGTTTCTTAGCTGCAGCCCGTGTTCTTGACTTCTTTGAATTGAATGCAAAATATGTACACGGTATCTAAGGTCAGCCTTCCTCGACACGGATAAACGTACTACAAGCGATTCACTCTCGTTGGTGCCACTGACTTCCAACCATTTTATCGGTGTTGCTTCTTTTCGTTGCTCTAGACTCTAGGTCAAAGTCATCGTACTATACCGATGCCATTATGTGTAGTATACAGTAACAGAGATTTTTGCGAGAAAAAAAGAGGGCGCCGATGTATCGAAAGGGTGAAGAAATAATGAAGAAAAAAGTTGGAAGAAGCGTGCTGCAGAAGAGGTTGACCGACCCGCAAATTTGTCACGAGAAAAAAACCAAGAACTCATGGCTATCGATTCGACAAGGGGCCACGTGCTCGAACGTTCTCCAAATACGATCTGGACCCTCGAAGAAGGAGGATCCTCGTTACGGCACTTGTTCCGATGCTTAGAGCTTCAAATTTCCGGGTTGTAAGCCGTGAACTAATCCTTCGAAAAGAATGAGATTGGTGCAATTCTATTGGTCTCGCAGAAATCTGACGATAGGCTAATAATTATCAGCGGAGGGGTTAGATGGTAATGGTAAATAAACGAGTTGTTAACCGTCCAATTAGCCAGGAAGCCGTTTCGCTGTCGCGCCTGCCGGTGTTCTGGGATCGGCCGCCTCGATCCCTGGGGAGAGATGGCCGGTGCCGTCACCGGGTGGCACAGCCTCGATTATCTCGGGCCGTGTGCCTTGTCACACGAGACTCGTTCGCGTCTTTTCTGGATCGAGATCATCCAGTCGCTGCAGTCTCCACGCGTCCCTCGATCGCGAAGCTACCGAGAGGGTTCGAGAGGGTTCGTCAGGGTGAATCGAGCGACTCTTCGCCACGCGTTCAACGCGTTCAACGCGTTCGACGCGTTCAACGCGCTTTCCTCCCGACCGTCTATGCTTTTATACCAAAGCAGCGATCAAAGTTCTGGATGCACGATTTAGAAAAATTACAGAGAACAATAGAGAATTTTTTTATTATTTATTACCTTTTAGTAAAGTGAAGGAACTGTGAGAATCTTTGGGGTACATTTTGGGAAGAAGCGTTGAATTACTTGTCGCCTGGTATCAGGAACCTTGCAACGCCGGCATTCGGAAGTGATAATGCGCGGAGGAAGTCAAGACAGTGACTAATGCTCAAGTAATTGCATGCGTAACGCAATTGAAATAAAAAAGAAACCAACGGTGAAAAGTAATTAAAAAAAATAGGAAAGAGATTCGAAGCGTATTGTTCGTTTTTGGAAGAACAGAAATTTTCTAAGGTGCATTGTGACAAGATGATAGAGGATGCTGCGATGTACGATGTGAGTAAAAAGACCGAAGAAAATTAGTTGACATCGATTATAAAACTGATAGCAAATTTTTGACTCGTTTATTATACATATATACGAGGACAGTAGTTAGCGATAGCTTAGTCGAACTATCAGCTAATTAAATGTCTACGCAAATGACCAAATGACCAGTTATCTATAATGTTTCGTTTAAATTAGTACATCACAGCATGTGGTTCTTTCCTCGATATCAGGTCTAAACATTACTGTGTGACATACATGTTACAAGGAAAAAGGAAAATCGTTGAAAAATCAAATCTGAAAGTAGAAATAAAAGTAGCAGAAACTATCTAGTCGCGTTTTACATTTCCCTCTTTCTTTCGGCGCCGATAACTCAAAAATAGAATTGAATGTTAATCAACAGATATAGACCGTTCGAGGCGTATGACTTCTTATTGTTTCGTATCGTCGAGAAAGCAGCGATTAATCCAAGACGAACAACCCGGTGCTTCGTGCAACAATAAAGAATAATTCAACAATCCCTTCTGTTTTTCTTTTTTCCAACTTTCCGGCTCATCATACGTTTTCCTCTTGTCGCAGATGACGGACGAACTGTTGTTCTCCGCTTTGGGTTTAACCACGGACACTGGTGTCGAGAGGCAACTGTTCACCAGCTCGAACACAGTCTCCTGCGACTACGAACCATCTTCTTGCAGAACCACACCACACAGTGACTATTCAGAGACTATCGACAGTCATTCGAATAATTTTGCCAATCCTATACAGTGTTACACGGATCTGACCTGTCCGACGAAGACTTCCTGGAACGAGTGGTCTGATAACACCTCTACGTCTCTCTCGGGTAAGTGGATCTTAATTAACCTTTTAACGCTCCGACATAGACATATCTTGCACAGATTTTATACATATAATAAAACAACCTCTATCATTAGGCTGTCTGAGTGAACTGAGCGAATTAGACTCGGAACTGGAATGGTGTTTAGACAAAAGTTGGAACTCGGGCCTTCCAGAAAGGACACCGTTGTGTACCGCAGGATGCGAGGGTTTCCTACACCTGCCATTACCGAATCCACAGCAAACATTTCAACACGAAGAACCATTATGGGTGCTCGGCATCGATTTGAGAGCACTCGATGATACTATGGAAACGAGTGGAATTGGTAAGTTTCAAGCACCGTAAGAGATAACGTTTACACCAGAATATCGTGTTGAAAACGAGGTAATTTAGGTAGAGAGGGTATTTCGAATGAAGAACTGAACTTTTAAATGATACCGATTACCTTCTGTTCAATACAGATTACAATAATAACCAGGTAGAAGAGAATCTCATCTCATCAGCAGCTGCTGCTGCAGCATTGGCAACTCATGACTATACTAATCGCAATTTCGCGAACGCGGCTGAAGACAGATGCTTTCCTTGCACTTACCAAGGATGCGTGAAGGTACGCATGAGAAATATAAAAGCAAAATTTTCTATATCCTTTCTTATTAACGCTTAGAGTATCTTTCTATTTATTCCAACCCAACCAGGTGTACGCAAAAGCATCCCACCTGAAAGCCCATCTCCGTCGACACACCGGTGAAAAACCATTCGCCTGCACGTGGTCAGGATGCGGATGGCGTTTCAGTCGATCAGACGAGCTGGCAAGGCATCGACGTTCTCATTCAGGAGTGAAACCGTACCCTTGCGAAATGTGTTCCAAGAGATTTGCACGCAGTGACCATCTGGCCAAACATCGCAAAGTGCATAGAAAGAACGCGTATCCATTGTTCCATGCCGGTAGAGGACTACGAGGAGGGAAGATGAACATTGTGCCAACGGAGATATAGCTCTATGATAAATGTGTGATTATACGACGACAGTATCTCGAAGAATTTTTTTCTCCAGTTTTCCCTTCCTCCTCCCTTCCTTTCTTTCTTACTTTTAATGTACTTAATTGAAACACCACCGACTATCCTAATTCGCCAAACACCTTTCTCGTAAATCTTCCAAATGAAATAGAAAACGTTCTTTCAATGACTGCCTTGATGACGGTGTAAAAGAAGAGCAAACGAACGAGACAAAAGAGATTAAACAATACTACAAGAGAGTAGTTTACCTTTAAGACGGTTCAAGATACTGGACTAGATTAAATGACAAACTTTTAAGTGACAATAAATATCATTGAAAATATCTTGGCTTTTTCATTGGATATCTTAATCAATTCAAGATCATAAGTATGATTTGCCCGCAATATGTTAACTCAAAGTGTTTGCGAAAAACTAACATAACTTTGAAATATAAAATACAAAGACTTACCGTATCCCTTGAGAATGGTTTTCGAGACTTAATATTGCGACTCCGCTTTCTCCATGTACCCCAATACGGTGGCCGTTGATTTTCAGAGAATTGAAGCAATTTTGCTCGATGTTTTTCGAAGACGATATTCTGATTCACGATGTTCGACGTGCCGTCGTTTTCATCGTCTATAAGTAAACATGAAGTAATTGACGGTAATCGGTATAATACATATTTTTTTAAAGGAAACGCGATGCTTACCTAATATAGTTACAGCGTCCTCTTTTGCTTCAAGCGGCCAAGTCTTTGTTGATTTGCGTGGAATGATCTTTTTATCTTTGATCTCGCTAAGATACAAATCTGATATTTGCATATTTCCTTCATTACACTTTTCATCCAATAGTAATTTCTCTTTCTTGTTTAAAGTTCTTCTAGAGATCGGAGCCATTTTCATGTCCGCTTTTACTTCAAAGGGCATGAAATTTTTCACTTCCAGAGTGCTTTCTTCTTGGAAAGATTTTTCTAGCTTCTTGGTGACGAAAAAACTGGTGAAATTTGATGCTGCTTTTTGTTTTTTACGCTCAGCTTCTAGTTTTTCCTCCTCTTTCTTCCTTTTCTCCTCTTCCTTTTTTTTGCGATCCTCCTCTCGAGCCTGTTTCTCTTTCAGCTTTTGCCTGCAATTATATTCGTGTTATTTTCAATTTCCACAATGAAGATTAAACATACATAAATGAAATCATAGAAATTAGAAATATTCCTACTCAATTTCTTGTTCCTTTTTCTGTTTCCTCATTTTCCTTTCAAACAATTTTTGTTCTTTTTCTGCTTTTATCTTGTCCTCCCTTTTTTTACGCTTCATTTCCTTTTCTTTTCGCCGATTATTGCGATCTTCCTCTAATTTTATTTCTCTTTCCTGATAAACAAATAACAGAATGTATCATTCCCTTGTGAAAAAGAAGAAACTGTTTATGATTATAAATATTACAAACTCCGAATTTACCCTTCTCCGTTTCTGCATCTCTTCCTTTTTCTTAATACTTAATAATTTCTTTTCCTGTTGCGTAGGTGTTAATTTCGTCTTCTTTATCTTATCAATTTTAGGAGTTTTTGAACTGTCAGAATTCATACTTTGTTCTGTATTTGACTTTAAGTGGTCACCCCCTCTGTCATTACTATCCGACGATAAATTTACAACATCAGAATTAACATCGCAAGAGTCATTAACTGCCCCAACTAGTTCTTCTGCTTTCTGTGATACATTTGCATCAGTTTCTGTATCAAAGCTTTCATTAACAGATTCATCTTTTTCCTCTAGCAAAGGATTTTCCTGATCATCATTAGCATCATCTTCTTTTGTATCAGTCTTTTTTAAAAACTTTGTTAAACAGTTAGATTTTGATTTATCCTGTTTTTCTATTTTCTTCTGCTTGGTTGACAATTGTTTTGGAGTTGTAGATTTTTGTACAGCATTCACTTTATTAGATGTATTTTCCTTCACACTCTCAATTTCTATACTTTCTACAATTTCTATATCATTACTATCCATCCTTAATGTTTCAACTTTAGCATCATCTTTATTGGAAGCTGGCTTGGAAACTTTAACTGCCTTTGGACTTTTACATCCCACTGAAGGTGATGACAGCTTCCTCTTCTTAGTTTTCATAACATTTGGTGATTGAGTTGGACTCCGTATTTGAAATGGTAATTGCGCTGAAACAATATTTTACATTGTATACAAGTCAGTTAATTTGTAATTACTTTGATGACAGCACAGAAATTAAAAAACAAGTACCTTGTTTCATTTTCTTTGTTCTGATCGGAGTAACCGCTTCAATCATACAATCATCTTTTTCGTTGGAATCCGTCATTTTCATCTTATTAGGTCTTTAAGAATGCAAAAAAAATAAAATCAGACCAAAGTCCATGTCTGAATAAAAATAATAAACGATTAAAAAAAAAACGATTAACCTTGTCTTACCTAAATGCTTTCAATTGTAAACTTTTTCTTACAACATAACAACGACTGACAAGATCTACAACAAATCTGTCAATGGCACGTTACTATAACCTAAACAATAATTTATCAGTCAAACAACTATGATGCGAACATTAATCGATCATATATTTAATACGTATAAATTTCGAGATTGAAATGTTATGTACAATTGTACAAGTTTTATAATTTAAGGAACTACTTTCACAAATACAATAAGTTGGACGCGCATAACTGGCATAACTGCCGGATAGGAATTAGACTGAAAATCCGCGGGAAAGTAAAACAGTGGGAGGGATAAAATTATACCTGATAGCAATGACTACAGATCCATCTGGATCTGTAGTCACTGCTGATAGGTATGTATGTACATCCATAAACCTACGGTTTATTAGATTTGTAGATTCAAAGTTTCAAATTCAACGATGAGAAACCTTTTCTTTATATCAATTTACACTCTCCAGATTTATAATAACATATGAGCAAGATTTTAAGTAAAACTTATATTTTGAAAAATCGACAAGAGGGCGCTCAATTTTGGAGAGAGTGCTTTGTCCACTTTCTCCGCTAGATGACTCTTTTGTTGATAATTTCACGTTCGATGAATATCGGATACCGATCGGACGGCTTACGAAGCCGTTTGGTCAATAAGAAGCTTCTCGCGAAACTTGAGAAAGCATAATGTGCATGTGATGCGAACAGCAATATCGTGTATCAGTGCGGTACGCGGTGCATGTTCAAAAATTTTATCGAGGAGGAAAGAAACAGCAATGAAACTGTGTGAGAAATAAGAGAGGAATGTGCTGTTCCGAATCGTGAAAAGCAAGAAGTTCCAAGAGGGTGTTTTTTCCTATAGTTAAAAGGAAAGGTCAACCCTTATCCGGATTCTATACAATGTACCGGCGGCCCACACCCACTGACTGTTTGTTCTTTAAATTTAACCCCTTGCGACGTATTCGAGGGTAGCATGCCGTGTACTATGTGCATCTATTATCAATACTGTCATTACTTGCAAGGTAAAATATCATATATATTATGAAGTCGTTTTATAATAGATGCGTTTCACGATCGAACGATGATTTTACAATCTGCAGAATAATCTTATCGTAAAATCGTTCTATATTTAATGTTTAATAAGTACATAAGTATATAAATTATTTTTCCGGCCTAATAGAAAGGGTTGCGCATTCGACAGATATAAAACCAGACATTTATGGAATAACTAGTATTTCGAAAAGTTTTCATGAACGATCGAATCGTGCATTGCGACGTTTATCATTAACTCCTGACTTGAATACGAATCGAAATCGATTGACAATATACTCGATGCATTCTCTATAATATATCTCGTATTTACAACAGTACATATATGTATACTCGATGAATACAAACGATGATTTCATTACTGTCGGTCAAATTGATCAATATTAATCAATCACGTAGAATAATGCCGATGATTTTATTGTCTTATAACTTTTATATTCATAAACGTTAATGCGATTGTTGTTTCAGAAATACCTTATAGTAATAAACAACCTTAGAAAATTCATTTCTACATGAATAAGTTATATCTATGACATAATCTTGAAGATAATAACATTGAATTCAACATGTATGCATTAAAAATGCAAACTGCCTGTCAGAGTGAAGCCAGTGGGGAGCCAGAAGATCCTAGTAGCCATCACCAAGAACCTGTTAAACCTCCAGTACAAGATTGTAGTTCGTTTGACATTGTTAGAGCAACACAGGTAACAAAGATTTTAATCAATACAAGAGTAGGTATTTATGTATTTTACTTATTTTAGAATATTCTAATTGAAATTTTATTTTCTTTAGTATGGAGCTTTGGATAGAGTAACCGAATTAGTAGAAGCTGGTGCTGATGTAAATCAGCCAGATTCAGAAACTGTAACATTATTACACTGGGCTGCGATAAATAATCGAAAAGATATTGTAAAGTACCTAATTGCAAAGGGAGCTGTTGTTGATGCAATTGGTGGTGAACTTGCTTCCACACCGTTACATTGGGCTACAAGGTCTGTTATTTCAACTTTCATAATATGATAGCAGATCAAGTACAACTACCATAATGCAAATCATTTTCAGACAGGGCCATTTACCTACAGTTGTGATATTAATGAGAGCAGGAGCAGATCCAACTCTCAGGGATTCAGAAGGATTTTCGTGTATTCATTTAGCTGCACAATTTGGCCATACATCTATTGTTGCTTATCTAGTCGCGAAAGGAGTAAATCCGAATATGCCTGACAGAAGTGCAATGACACCCCTTATGTGGAGTGCCTATAAAGTTAATAGGTAAATGTGGAGAAATAACAAGTATCCCCTTAGAATCATATTATATCGATTACATCGAAGTTTTCTCTTTTATAGTTTAGATCCGACACGCTTGTTACTGACCTTAGGAGCGTCTCATTCGCTTACGGATAACTTACATGGCAATACCGCTTTGCATTGGGCTATTATAGCAGAAAATAGTACAGCAATATCGACGTTAGTTCACCATGGTGCATCGTTAGATGTGCCAAATATTCGGGATGAAACGCCAATGACACTACTGGGTCGTCATATCGGCGCTGCCTGGTTAGGACATAAAATTAGTCAAGAAATCAGAGAAAGGCAGGGCAGAACAAGAACATGGTGTAGAGATAAAGTATGTGTATTTAATTTGTTTACTTGTTTTATGTTCTTCACATTTCTTCATATCTCGAATTCTACTTTCAGAGAATACGCTGGTACTGTATGGTCAGCACACCATTTATAGTTTTCTATCTAATTGGAATGATTCTTCAGTCGGGATTGGATTATTTAGTGAAATTAGGTGTCTTTGTTACTCTTTACATAGCACTATATTTAGCTAATCATTTTGTCTTTGACGAACGATTATTTCATATTATACCAATGTCAATTTATTTGGCTACAAAGGTAAGTTTCAAATTAGTTATTTATCATTAAATTGAAGTATAGGAATTGAATAATGCTGTAGCAGTTCCATTATCAACTTACATGTATCTTAGATAGCTAACAAAAGTAGCTTATCATACAATTTTAGATAACATATATAAGTAAATCCAACAAAAATTCTTCGATTGATATCATTAACGGCTATCAACGCTTTTAGTACTTTTTAATTATTATGATACGAGTATGATTCGTTTCGTCCTCTTCACTTGTTACAGATGTGGATATACGTTACATGGATCTTTTGGTTAGGCATACATGCTGCCTGGTATTTATGGTTACTATTAGCGGGTGGATCAGTACCGCTATGGATTTGTTTCTTACAATCCTGGAGGGGTGATCCAGGTGTGATCACAGCTACACATGAAGACAAATTAAATGTAAAAATCTATATTTTCAATTATATCAATTGTTATAAATAAAATACGTGTTTTAATTGTATTATTTTTTTAGACGATTATAGAGTTAGCAGAATCTGGCGGTTTTGAACTACACTCATTTTGCAGTAGTTGTTTAATCAGAAGACCTATGAGGTCTAAACATTGTTCTACGTGTGATCGATGCGTAGCACGATTTGATCATCACTGTCCCTGGGTCAACAATTGTATTGGTAAGTTAATAAAGATAAACCTATTGTAAGATTGTTTTTTTCTTTTTTTTTTTTTTTATGGTAGTAATATGTACGCATAAAATGTAGTAACTTTGGACAGTCTAATCTTGATCTATTATCTTAAATGATATAATTGCATAATTAATTTTTTAACACATCTTTTCTTTCTGTAAATTACGTTTAGGTGTGCATAACCACAAGTATTTTCTGGGATTTTTAGCCTCGCTATTAGGCCTTTGTATTGTTGTTTTATCTGCTAGCGTACAGTATTGGCAGTTTGAGTGTTGGACAAATTTAACAAATGGCCATACTGCTGATAATTACCTAGTCGCTGCAGCTACATGCGATGCTTGGGTAATGTGGGTCACAGCAAACACGTCTCTCCATTTCTTCTGGGTTGGCACGCTATTAGCTTGCCAATGTTATCAGGTTTGTACAATAAAATAATACTTATTTTTTATTATATTTTATTTCTACCAGACGAAATCGTTCATATTAACGTGTATTTTTCATTAGATTATGGTTCTTGGAATGACGACAAACGAGCGTATGAATGCCGGACGGTACGCGCATTTTAAACAAGGAAATCCTTTCCATCGCGGTGCTATCCAGAACGCAGCTGATTTTTGCAATATAAGTTTCTGTGGTATAAAAGCAAAACCCAGTTCAGACTGGTTACACAGTTTTGATCACAAACAAAGCATCGAAAAGTTACCTCTACTCGCTACGAAAGACAACTTCCAATACATTTAGGATTTTTCTAAATGGTCAAACAACTGTTACGGAAGATATGTAATTTAGCCATCAGAAGCTAACTGTGTCATATCATGTTAATGCCTCAAGTATTTCTGGGCTACCAAAGAGTTACTACAATATCGGAAGTGACTTTTCAGAAAAGGTAGTGATTTTATGCATATACAGATTTGAATTGCATACTGTAAACAATTTCCTACAGTCAGTGAATATAAATTTTAACATTCATCTACTGTAAAAGACTGTTCTTACGACGTAAGTATGCATATCCCACCTTTGCGTATTCTATTTTCCAAATATGAAATAGAAAAACAAGTTGCACAAGTACTTTGACTCTATTTTTACAAAAGAAAATGATAAGAAATTTCATTTTTTTTTTTTTTTTCCTATATACTTCGTGTAAACATAACATTAATACAATTACTTTACTTTATAGTGCATTGTAAATATCTATATTTTCTTTTCTTGTAATCGTAACGTAATCGTTAAATATGTTCGTTTTTTCGTTACTCTTTAATACTTTATATCCTAACGGGCGGTAGGTTCAATCTATAAATAATTTACTCGAGAAAAGTACAATTTTAATCGTACTGAAAGACGGAATATCTTTATAAAAAAAAAACCATGACAGTCGGTTCTATAAAATCATTGTATAACGTATTTTTATCAATATTATTTATTACACTTATTTGTACTTTGTAGGTTTTAAGCGTTGTAGAAATTCGTAACAAACACTCTGAACAGCAATATTGTCACAATTTTTGCTAATATCATAAAATTTTCATATTACACATAAGGAATTCAGAATTAATATATAAAGAAAAAAAGGTGTAAAAAAAAAAACCAACTTCGTAACTTTTAAAAGCGTGGCATATTCATAATGAAAAGCTCGTGGGTAAATTTTAATTAAATGAAAGAGTCAAAGATTATGCTATATGATTATAAATATTACTGTTGGCTATTCAATCAGTTTTTTCGTACTTATAAATAAGTTTACCTGACTTAAGTGCCATGCTTCTACTCTTTAAAAGACATCCACATACACGCGTTTACACAACTTTATGCTCTAACTTTATAAGAATTGATTAACGTTGGCTGTTGTATCTAATCTATTATTGCATTACGTGAAAATGAAGTTTTAATGATTGATAGCTATATAAAATATTTACATCATAATATGTATATAAATTGTTTGCATCTGTTTTGATGGATGTCATACTTTAATGATACGGTAAAATTTTCAAAGAAATATCTTATCAATTGTGAGTAGTAAATTGAAGAAAAAAGAAAGCAAGAAAAAAGAGAAGAGAAACAAAGGAGAAATCTAATACATTTTTGTACGATAATTACACATGTGACGATAGAGATATTATTAGAAAATAATCGTCGAATATTTTACATTCCAAAAATGTACTTCAGTTTATAATTGCGAAACTTTATGTTTAATCTGTAACGTTAGTACGTTGTTAAGAGCATATACTCCCTTTTGGTATGAATATCTTCAGCATCATTGACAAGTATAATGATTAGATTTCACTGTTAAGGTTGCAAGTGCTATGTCAATTCCACTTTCTAGCATTATTGAGAATACTAATTATTGAATATTGGTACTGTAAGAGTTGTGTTCCACGCACAATTAATGCAGAAAAATAAACGTTTACCGATTAATTGCATCCTTAACAGGATACACTTAAGTATATTAAAAATCTAATTTACCAACGTTTAAGTAGAAATGAGTCTATGTATGTAAGATATATTTCTGTCAATGATTGCACGAACAAGTTACTCTAATTGTTAACACTCTAAAGAAGTATGTTAAAAGAGTGCGTATGTTCTTAACATTGCATTTCCAATAGGTGCCTAAATGTCTGATCATTACCTTATAAAAATTGATGAGAATAGATCAAAACTTTAAATGTATTTTAAGCTTATACCGTAATAAGTTTTTAATAGTTTTTAAACAACACTATGTTTCTTTGTTAAATCTTGATTAAGCATTATTATATTTCCGATAACGACTAAATATAGCAATTATGTTTTATAATTTCATCGTTCTTAAGCCGTTCATGTGTGTACGACCAATTACTTTATACACATTTATTGTACATAATCAAACTTGTTTTCATTCCTAATGGTTTGGTAACTTCTTCCAAAATCTTTAATGTACGCGTGTACAGAGAAAAACTAACATTCGGTACACTTGTCCAACCATCGTTAATTAAAAACAAGTTTGCAATTGTTTGACTGATTGTACAGAATGTTAAGAGGTATTTGTACAAAAGGTTGAAAGGTACATATAAGATTGAATATAAGATTCGAACGATGATATTACAAACACGAATACTCCACGTCAGAATTAATCCAAGAAACATGTGTATAAATATTATAAATACAAATGTAAGTTAATTTGTAGCAGACACTATTGACTACTTATGCGAACGTATTTCTCAAATATTTCTTTTGACCGAGTGATAAGCATTTGGTATTTAATGTATATTTCTGTTTCTAGTCCGATTGATATTAAGCTAATTTGATATTTAGATTATATTTACTTCGTGTGAGCAATCAGATGCACTGAAATTGTATAGCGAATAGTTTATTCGTTTTCTAGGCAAGACAGACAAACAAATTCTATACTTAATGGTCCGTTATCAACGAATAAAAAAAAAACAAAACTGTATTATAACATTTTGAGAAACATACACGTAACAAACAGATAAACATAAAGAACTTTTATAATTAAGATTTTTAACGTTTTACTTCTAAGTTGCGAACGAATTGCTTCGAAGAACGTATAAAGGATAAATGAAGCACCGATTAAGACACAAAAGAGAAAGATTTAGAATAAATAAACACATAAATGTTTAGAATTCTAGTTGAAATTTTTGACGGAAGAAAAAGTAATATTAGTTGTAAAATCTTTTTGTGACCTGTTAAGAATTTGAGAATTATAAAATTCCTCGCAAGCGTTATATCGTATAGATGAGATTACTACTATTCTATTAAATCATACTAAACTAATTATACCATTCTACTTCCAATTCAATTTGATGTAAATAATAGTGTCTTTTACTTCGAATAATGTTTCAAGAATGAATAGAATTTTGAGAATTTTGAGAATTTTAGGGAGGGCAGGGTGTAAGAACTTTTGGTAACTGATAAACAAAAACTGAATCAAAATTATTATGTGTTTATAAAAGAAATAAAGAGGAAAAATATTATTTATTTATTTATTTATTTATTTATTTATTTATTTATTTAATTTAATCATTATTATTCCACAAATACGTTTCACGATTTGTGTCGTTTTCATTGTGATCTCAATTCGAAAACATTCCCTTCTTTGAGAAACCAATTTCATTGTATTGGCAATCAAAGTATAAACATATGAATGTAAGGAATTATCCTTATTCCTGTCAATTTGACAGTTTAATTTTCTTTTAGTTCATGTTACTTTAATTTCAGTTTTGTTCAGTTTGTTTTAAAGAAATGTGTTTATCATGGTATCTGGGGAGGATTGTACTTATAATGACACAACAGAAGCTTCTAATATAACATCTTTGCAATCGGATAATAGTTGCGTAGTTAATACCAATTTCAAGGAAGCTGAATTTGTAAAGAAAGAGGATAATACTTTTGAACAATTTAGTCGTATGTAAAATAAAAATTTAAATAATAAGCTAAAATTTGTAATAATTTAAAAACAAAAGCTTGTACGTTTTGTAAAACAAACATAAATTGTACATTACACATATGCAGATAAAGATTGTAAATGTTACGGGATACATTCACCACTGAACCATGGAGTAGTTTCAGAACATTGTGGAAGACCCAACACAGTACAGGAATTACCTAAGGATTTACAGAAAAACCAATGTACAATGAAACAAATTCAATCTACTGCACCGTGTTTATGCCGTACCCATAAAATGTAATATAAACATTTTTATTTCACACAGCAAATACTGATTAAATCTTATTTTTTTAGCAATGCCTATACTTTACCCTTAAAACACAAAAATGGTAATTATTATAGCTTACCGAATTTTGTTAAGTTTGTACCTTAATCTTTGCTTCATATAAGTAAGAACTCTGTACATTCCTTATAATTATAAATCGTGTATTCCAATTAAAATAGTTCAAACTAATTGCTTATCTTTTTTTTTTTTTAATTCATTTCAAGCATATCTAAAATACGAGTTTTTAGGTCCACATTCACGACCATTTTGGTGTCGTTTTAAGTGGAAATGGCCAAAGAAAACCTATTTAGAAAAAAAAGATGCAATGTACGAGGTAAACTTAAGATCATCAAAGTGTGCTCATTATAACAAGGTGGAGTAAAATATTTAATCGTTAATCTATTTAATGCTAAACGTAAAAACTCAATGATATATTTATGCACAGCCCTTTATGTACTGTGAAATATCAGAAGGGATACCTAATAAAAGAAAACAGAATCCTCCTAAAGTAGTAAAACCAGAAGAAAAAGAAAAAGGGAAAGAGATAAAAGTGACTGAAAAAATTGAAATCTATTACTTTGATCACGGGAATTCTGCGTAGGTACAACTACATCAACGTTTAAATTTAAAAGATAAAAAATAAAATCTATTTATGTTTAAAAAATTAAATACCTTTTTATTAAATTATATTTTGCTTAGGTACTATCGTACCACGGATTCACCACCGATACTGGCAACTGAAAAATGTGCCGAGAAGACTGATCAGGCAGCAACACGCTTCTGGGCTGAAATATTTGGAACAATTCATATAGGCACCGCTTTCGTAACAGCATTTATTTTACAATTCCTCCGATTCATACTTTACAGCGTAATCAGACCCCTGACTGTGGGCATCTTGCAACTGTTGGCAGATTACTTCATAAAGCCTCTTCTGTCCATCATATTCAATGCATTGATACAACCAGTACTGATACTGTTATACAACATTGCAACCTCTTTAAGGGATCTTTGCGAACCTATCGCAGAGGCCATGGGTCTGTTCTTACGCGAACTTGCTAATGTCTGTGCGGCAATTAGAATTGTGGAAGTTAAACAGGGCACTGCTCCTTCAGCTGTTTGCACTTGATCGGTACATGTAAACATATTCGTTAAAAAAAAAATGAACAAAGAAATAATCCGTGGTTCTCTTTTCATTATTTAGGATTTAGAAGGATGGAACAAGGTTGAACGATGTACCTTTATATTGGTTAGACAGATGAAATCATTGCATTCTTCATGGTCCAAGCTTATCCTCTGGATGCTTCTTAATAATAAGAATAATTCTTATTATAAAACTACAAAGTAAGTTGAAGCTGTTTCAGCTGGTAACTGATATCCTTCTTAACGTTTCCTTTGCAAAATAGGGTGATATCCAATTAAAAAACAAACTGAAAATGACCCAGGAACAGCTCGAACGCGGCTGTTCGAGTTTCAACGAATATAACACATGCCTTAACACCAGGTATATATTTGGTATTACTTGTAACTTTACAATATTATTATCGTTTCATTCATTTTTGTTATTTTTCTTCTTTTTTTAAATCTTTTCTTTAATAGTTTTTACAGAACAAATTATTCCTCATAGCAACTAACTTTGTCAATAATAATAATCAATAATCATCCTTCGTCTCTTTCGTATATCTTACTGTTTAATAAATTATGTACAATCTCACAAACAACAAACGGAGGAACCTAATTACATCATGTAGTTGTTTCACACTTCGCTATGTACAGGTACTACTGGTTTTTACAGAATTGCGCTCTCGCTCCACCTGCGTGTATAATCGTTATCCTTAAACTCTGTCGTTCGCGTACTCTCTAATTAGAAAAAAAAAAAAGAAAAAAGGAAAAGGAAAAGGAAAAGAGAAAGAGAGATAGAGAGAGAAAAGGAAAAAAAGAGGGAAAACAAAACGCCTATCGTCACCTAGTCTCAGGAACTGCAACCTCTTGTTTACTGTGCATCGCGATCTAGGTGGCTGTGGTCGGAGTCTCCTGGATGGCTAAGGTCTGTGAAGGCGCTGATGATGACGTCGAGTCACCTGAAATTTCAATATTGTTCTTAGTATAATATTAATTGACAGTGGTGATCGATTATTGATGATCAGCTCTTTAAATTTAAGCAACAGCATAAGACGGTACACCTCCTATATGGTAAGCCTAATTCTAATCGTCCATCAGCACGTGACAAAGATCCTATTTACGTAATTGCGTGATTATTAATAAGTCTTATCGGTGATGTTTCTCCTTAAACTGTAGCATAATCCTATTACGATAATACAGACCGTTCACGAGCATTATGTAACAATATCGATCCTTAACAGGTAAAACTCACCCAAGAGAGCTGCCTCCAAGTCCCCTAAGATCTCCGTTTCCTTCGGATCGATCAGGTTGAAGCGTTGATTAAGGAGCGTGAGGTGGGCAAACACACAATTGAGGTGAGCGTGCAACCCCAAGAGTGCTACCTCTCTGAAGTGGCAGTGGTAAATGTGTGCCACCACGTGGTACAGTAGCCGCAGGATCTTACGCACTATCGATTCGAACGAGCTAGGAAATTCATTTGCTGGAACATCCAAGAGAAATCGACCAATTAACGTGATTACACCCCTACGTGCCATGTATACACGTCTGTTTTTTTTTTTTTGTACCGCAGTCTACCAAACGTGTGGACATAGCTGTAATTTAATTTCTGATTATTTATAGTTGTAAATATATAGTATTATGCGACGAACGAAAAAGATTTTTCAACGCAAAGTCAAAGAAAATGAACTCACCATACTTCGTAGGAAATATAGTTTCGTCACTAACGGTGCGTTGTGTAAAAGTCATAACATAATCTATATATTGTGGCGCTGCCACTCTCGTTTTCTTTCCCTTCTCATCGAACCACAGATAAGTTCTGAAACGATAAGAAATCGAGTTACTCTTGAAGAAAATAGTAAGGGCGAGAGGGGTGAAAGCAGAAGTAGTCGTTTAAGAAATGATTTCCTTTATCCTTCCTATTCTACTTGTATTTTCGTTACTTCTACTTCGTCTTCCTTTACATTTTGAACGAAGAAATCACCTTAAGCCAGGACCAGTCATGTCGGGACAGCCCGTCATCGTGCAAAATTCAGATATCGTTCCGTAAACGAGGTTTATGTGATCGAATAGTGCCAGGGTGTGAGAGGCCAGCCACTCGTTGTAGTCCAAACCTGGTGGTAGATCGACCAACATCCTCAGGTCCAGTTCTGGCAGCTGCCTTTCAAGAGCCGCCTCCTCGAGGTACAATTTCGGATCTTCTGTGGTTCCCGCATCCTTCTCCTTTCGTCGGGCTTTTCTATAAGCAACGTGAAATCGCTCTTTCAGATCAACTAACTGTTCTCTCCTTTCGATACATATTAATTAACGCGTTTCTACACTGATCAAGCAATAAAGCAAATTATTGCTTAGCAGAGGAGGTTGATATTGAAATGATTTGTGTCTAATTTGCGAATCTTTCGAGTTTTTGCAACGAAACGCGTCAATTTTCTTCATTTTTTTCTTATTGTTTCATGTATATACAAGTTTGTAATGATTGTTGTGTATCGAATACTGCTCTGAACTTTGTACTTATTTTCGTTTTTCATTCAGATTTTTACGATAATTGCCAGAAGGTGGTAGAGAACGGGTTTAATAACGATGCGGAGGTATTACGTGAATTAATAAAATACCAGCTTAATTTCAGCAACGACTCCGAATGTTACGGATTTTGAACAAGAACAGTATAACCGTGAATAGGTGAAATTTCATTCACGACCGAATGTGTTGTGACTAAAGCACAGATGTGCAATAATTTTACTTGCAAATGGTAACGAGTATTGCCGTACGCCGTGTGAATTTCATCGGCAAAATTTCTGTAACCTCAGCTGCGAAACTAACCGTAAACATTATAAATATTATTCAGGTGATATTTTTCGACGCGTTGCAAATAATTTTCACGGGAGTTAAAGTGTTCTGATTGAAATGAATTACGTCGATCTGCGAAATCTGCTGTTAACGACGCGGCGTCATTTCCGTTATAACACCGAATTATTTCCCGCGTTACATGTATCTTTGATTATAGGGAACGTAGCACGTGATTCGCTTAAAATTACATTCCATTGATTTCGGTGTAAATGGCGACTAATTGCCGACTGTTCATCGCTCCCAGACATTTCGAATCATCTATCGAATCGTTATAGGATAACGGTGCTCGTACATATATCCAATCCTCCCAGAGTTCTAATTTGATAGCGACGATGACCTTAAATTAAAGGTTAATTAAATAATGAGTGGTCACACCTCGACGGATTCAACGAAAGAATAGCTTTTCATCGGTGCGCAAGAGGTGATTACATATATTTTCAGCGTTTATTGTGTCTGATAAGAAAAGGAAAACGGAAGCTCGATCTAAATTATTTCTTCACTATGGACGGACGATCTCTTTTGATTTCTATAACCTAGATTTGAATAATTGGAATATTTATTCGGTAATTCATTGAGCGCGCAAATGAAATTTATTAAGAATCAACGCGAAAATTTATGAAATAGCCTAATTAATCAACGTTAAACGAGAGTCGATGTTAATCGATATATGTATGTATATATGTATGTACACAGATTCGATGGTGGTTTGGAGATGCATATTACGGTACGCCGATGGAAAACAAATTACAGGTGAGCCTGTAACTGGAAAAAGCAATTTCATTCCGGGGCGAAGGACAATATTACGTTGGCCTAAATGCACTTTGCTTTGGAGACCGCTTTCCGCAACCCCTCGCGATTTTCCCTTCCACAATTACCACCACCACCACTACCACTACCACCCTTGATTCCACCCTCACGAATTTTGGAACATATTCAAGCTCATTAGCCTAGTATCGTTAATACCAGCAGCAATATGTCGCTTTACAAAGTTACCAGATTCGCCTCGATTTCCTGCTGTTTCGTCCACCAGTTACACGCCAACAATAAATAAATATTCCTCGACCTAACAGAATTCGTGTATCAGTTTAGTAGTCGCAGATCTATTATACTATATTTAAACAATTTTGTATAAATATCCTCTTTGTAAATCTAACGAGAAAGCAATCCGGTTTACAAAGTCAACAATGTTGGAAGAGCATTACTGTTCCACATTGTAACCAAGTTTCATAAACAACAATTGCGCTGATCGCATCGCGTACAGAACATTACGTCTTTAATCGAGTGGCACAGGTTTGCTAATCAGATTAACGAATTATCGGATTTGTACGAACGAACGGACTCGGACTCCATTCAATTCGCTTTTAATCTATCAACAAGCCTTCATTGGGCGTCTCTCTGTTCCCGTTCCCTCTGTTTCGTCTTCCTAAGGACAAATGAAGCTTCTTCCTGGGCGAAAGTTAATTGATTAAACTTCCTCTATTTCGTTGCATCTTAAGAAATTCACGAAACAATGGAAGTCGTTCTACTTTCTCCAATCTTAAGAAAATGACTATTCCTTCCTTTAATCTCCTGTACCTACTTTTTACTTTTTTCTTATTCCGAGAATAATTTGTGTGAAATAATGTAAAATTGAAGAGTGTCACGATGTTTCAGTGATAATATCGAACAGTAGTATTAGAATTATTTTAGTTTTGTGAGTGAACTCGGATGTTAACTAACGAGGAGCTGCTGGCTAATCAGCTTCCTGCCAGTCTCTAAAACACTATTCGCATGCAATAAATAACGAGAGCCACAATGTTCAGCCACGTCTACGTTCATCAAACAATCAAATCATTTTTTCTCTCTATTAAGCTCATGCCACTGGAAAGAAGCTGCATTTGTTTGGAAAAAACTGGCTCAATCAATTCATTGCCAGTTTTCACCAGATATCAACGACATAAGATTGCAAAACATCCAGTCCACTAAAAACTATAACTAAGGTCAAGGATTCTGATTTCATAACGCTAATTTACTAGTACTAACTTTCTAATCCTTACTAATTACTATACACCTAAAGTACTATTTGTTAAAAGCAAAACCTTTGACCTTAGCTACAGTTCTAACGTCTACACTGCGACCTCGACTAATCGATTTTCCTTTGCTTCGAGATCCTTGACAATTCAGAGGTCCAAGAAAATTCAACAGAAGAATTTAGAAACGTGAAATACTGAACATAAGGCAACCTTGTCCAATTTCACGAATATACTCTCTTTTTCTGCTCTCAATTTCTTTCGAGCAATTTTTCAAAGCCCTTTCTTCTCTCATCACCGATACACCGTTCCATTTATTTTTTTATTCCCGTGTTGAACCAACGTTGGATGGTTTCTGTATACGTCCATCAACGAAAGAAAAGACCATGTCTCGAAAAAAGAAAGAGTTATTTATTCGATCAGATAATTTTTCGTTGATGGAAAAATAGACGAGCAAAGCGTCGCGTCGTCGGTGCGTAATCGTAGGAACACGTAGGTACTTACGTATGCCATGCAAAAATATAACAATCGATTTCTCGATCATATATAATACATATGTAAAAACGTACAAAAAATGGTAATAAAGTGGATTGAGAATCGATTTGGAATAAATTTCGTAGAATCCCGTTTCTGCTTGCATTACCATTTTCTGTTAGTGTACGATTAAAAAGTGTTACGGGATACATAAAATTTTCATTTATTTTACCGTAACACTTTTCATTTGACACCATGCTTATGCAAAACGTTCTCAAACGGAAAGACAATGGCTTGTATCTAATTAATCTTCTTCGATATCAAGCCAACGCCTTATACCTTGAAGACACTCTGTACAAGTACATATACGGTATACGGATGTGTATACGGTATGCCTCAAGAAAAATGTACACCAGAAAAACTGCAAATGCTTCGTGTCAAAAGGACCCAGGCGCCGCTATTCTACCGTTAAGCCTTAATAAATCAATGCAACGACATTCTTCGAGATAAAAATGTCAATCTCCTAACTCCTTAACTTATGGATGCATACATACATACATACATACATATACGGAAAACACAAAGTCCCAGATTATTTGACCAGGAAGGATCTGCACTTTTGAAGGTGCACATGTTTTCTGAGTTAGCCACAGTAGATACATTGAGATCTATATAGACGACTCACGCGACAAGCTCGCCGAAGAACCTGATCTTCCTGTGGCAGGTGTCGAGAAGAGAAAGACGCGAGGAGACGCTGGAGCTGGAGCCAGAGGCGGTACCTGCTGAACCGGAAGCGGCGCCGTGGTGAACCGGCGTCGGTGGAGCCGACAGGGTCGAGGACGTCGAAGCGGAAGAATCCTGAAGAACGACGCGTGCCGGTGAACGTAGCATCGTCGTCGACGTGATCGTCGTTGTCGAAGACGATCTCCTCGGCACCCCGTCCTCGTGCCCGAGGACCTTTTCACGTACGCTGGGTATGCACCAAATCTTGTTTGGTTCTCATCGAACACCGTCCGCGACCCCCGACAATCGCTTGGTGTTCACCTTTACTATTCAAGATTTACTCTCTATATATCCTTTTACTTATATTTTCTCTACGTATTACCTTGATCTTCAAGGTAAAGTACGTTTACAAAGCATCTTTTTTAGCGTCTCTCCTCGAGGTATTCAAGTTTTCGAGTTGCTGATTCGGTAGAAGCTTCTTCTAGGCGACGATGAAACGTTGTCGAAGCCATTTTATAATTGATTAGATATAGATTCTTCAAGTTTTTCGACGGTGAATCCGCTTCAATCTGAACTTATCTTCACGTTCGACGTATTCTGCGGAATAATTGTTCACCTTTGTTTTACTTGAATTCAAGTCGCTTGACTTGCAAATATCTACACTCGAGTTGAAACAACTTCAAGCCGCTTAAATTCAAGTGATTTCGATTCAATTTCAAGCGAAGCTGAGATTCTTTCGAACTTGAAGCTTCGAATTGAAACGACGCGCGTAGGTAAGTGCTATTTTCAGATACTTTTATGTCATCGAATCGCGTCAAACTTTTTATATTTCTTACTCAACCATTCGGTATGCAAGAACCTAATAATTCCCAGAAATAAAAAGCTTGAAAGAATGATGGATATTACTAACGAAACTGTTGACAAAAATCTATACAGACTATTTCGATGATGGTAATAAAAGAATGAAACGAGCATATACCGTATGTATAGTAATAAAAGAGTAATAAACGCGATATGAAATAGTAAAAGGTTGATGCACAACCATCTGCAGAGTTCAGAGTTGCAGACCAACGATATTAGAAGCTAACATTTCGACCTATTTTTAAGGTTTTGCGTGGATCGTAAACATTCTACGACGTCCGAGATGTTCACACGTGTTAAAGCTTCGCGAACAACTTTTCATGTTGTATACGCTTTTGATATTCGTTGATTATCGCTATCGTTATCACGAATTACGTGTAAGAGATAAAACGAAGAGCGAATCGATACGACACCGAGCCCACAATCAGCTAAAGTAACGTAAGAATCATAAAATTACACTCGTCTGATGAATGAACTAGAATATTTAATTAACGATCTGAAATTATTTCACGTGGAAATTGGAAAAATTTCTTAGATAATTGTGTAAGTACATCAATTTACATAACGAAAATGCGATAAGACGCTTTTTAACGGTGTAATTGGATCATGGTATTAAGGATGTAATGGCCGCGTGGGGCAAACAAGGTTTTTCGAACGCTGGTATAAATTAAATCATCGTTGCTTACGTCAGTAAGCGGGGGTCTTGAAATTTCCAGGTAAGATGGGAGCGTTACGGACATCGTCACGATCAATCGCACGCCATCGATCGAAATTTATGCTTAACTGAGCATCTCATTAACATGACGTCATTATGGCGAGGGAGACTGATAATAAACGTACGTGACTGGCGTAAACAACGACCTCCTAAGCTCCATCATTTTCGCAGCTCGTTGTTCAACCCTAACTGACAAAACTTTTCAATATTTCACGCAATGAACAACCGTGTAATATAATAGAGAGAGAGTTTGAAAAATATTTCAGAATTTTTTCACTATTTCCTGAAGGCCTGAAACATATATGTATGTACATATACTAAAATAATATAAACGACCCAGTTTGCCTATGGAGCGTGAAGAAATATGTTTGCTTTTCACTCGATAATAGATAGGATCGAAAAGACTATTCGAGAGCTTCCTCCAGTTGGTAAAACGTTAAGTGTAAACAGGGACGTTTTGAATGAACAGGGGATACGTTATTACATATCTGGGCGAAAGATAAATTAAATGTCAGTATATTTAGCATGTAGATACGCGAAGTTTGAAAATGCAAAACGGGGATATGCAAGCGAGGAATAACTGCTTTGGAAAATAACTGCTGCAGAGAAATTATCAACCGAAAACACTTTGATGACTCATATCTAACAGAAAGTTGGTTACCCAACGGTAGAAATCAACGTGACACATTATCCACACCCTGTTCCACTCTATAAACTGTATAACGCGATCCGGATAGATTCTTGGTCATACGCATTCTTCTGCACCTCTTTTGCACCTCTTTTCGAGCATCCACGGATATGATATATAAAAAGTAAAAGTAAACAGTCAATTTCATCGTAACAGTTGAACGCATTAAATCATTTCATTTGAAATGGACTGGCTAGACAGTGACATCACCTTGACGGAAGTTTAACACTTTGATTAGCAAATCGAAACGCAGAATATTGAACTCTGCACGTGTGTCTACGAACGCGCAGCATTGATATTCATTTTCAACGTTTAAACGAGGACACGTGACGATTGACAAATGAGCCACCAACGACGACAGTGATACAAGTAAACTGTGTGATCGGACTCGGAGACGTGGACGAATCGTAGAAATAAATTTCAAGTAACAGATAATTGCTTTCGCCAAATCTCTGATCTATCACTGATTTTCCTGCCATAATTGGGATACAACTGTCCTAAGCGTTACGTAATGATTTCTCCATCAGTCAATAGCGAATCTCGTCTACAGGGAAACGTGTGGTTTCTCGATAAACAGTACGTGTATATTTATATACGTATATACACACGTTTGTATAGACTTTGAAGGACTATCTAGCAACGCGATGCATCGTGCGTAAACAATTCAATAAGCTTCGGAAAATTGGACGCTTCGCTGGCGTTATTCATTTCTCAACGATTCACAAGAATGGGCACAGTGATGTAGCGATGAAAAAAATGGTCGATATTTATGTCTGATTATTTATACGCATTATTCAACGCTAATTTTATCTCTATTCAAGATTCAAGTAAAATCGATCATCCGTTTGAATGATGCAAGGTGTCGCTACCTATTTTCACCTGATACCTATGATTAATTCTCGTATCAAATACTATTATTAATGCATTTCAGTGACCGCCTTAAATATCTCTGTTGTTTTTGCTGGTGCAGAAAATAGTCTCGGATAAAATTTCCAGGCAACTGTTCGGATAGATAAGTTAGAATAATAAGAGGAACAACGTGGAACAGCTGTATAGCATTGTTAAGAAGAAAGCAAGTTGAGAAACGATTTAATTTATATGGACGCTCGTCTGATGGAGCGACAGGGCGAGAGATTAAGTCCCGAAGAAATTTCATTCTCAGGTAAGAACACAGTATTCGAGTGGAAGTTTGCTTGCATCCTTTTACCATCGAATTACCGTGGAAATTGCTTGGAAGCGTTAAACTCGATGACTGCTCAAATAGCGTTTTGTAAAGCAATCTTTTTTTTTATTCTCTTCTTGATTTCCTCCTTAAACGTGTTTCGTTTCAGCAAAATAGTGATGTTACGAAGGGTGGATCAATTTCTTCTTTCAGATTCATAAATAAAAGATTTCAGGATGCTCGAGTTTACCTTCAATTTTCTAATATCCTGACACTTTATTTTACAATAATACGTTTTATAATCTCGTAACAGTCAAAGTGCTAATTAACAGTCAAAGTTACAGCTGAAGCATGTATGGTAACGAAGTGAAATCTTGGAGTAAAGTTCATCTCCATAACTCTTCAGAACTTCGGTAAGATTAAGTTTAACGAGCAAGATGGCTGTTGCAGCATATCAATGTGTAAGATGCAACAAGAGTTTAATAAGAAACATTAAAAAGGTGTACCTTGATATTGTGCTAGAAACTCGAATGAAAGTAAGCTGAAGTTTGTTAATGTAAAAAGTTACATATTAAAGTCAGGAATAGGCGACACCGGATGTCAAAGTATGTATCTTATTACGCGTGTCCATTTTCACAATGACAATCAACGTGCTAAGGACATTAATTACCTAATGTAACGCTTCAATTTATCATTGCGAATGACTGGCGTAATTTTAATGGTATGTATTTAGAATTCTCCTTATTTCTTCATATTTTAAATTATTCAAGCTTTCTCGGTGTTTTTTTTCTTTTTTTTTTTTTTTTTTTTTAATATCCTTTTGATTTTTACTTTCCCTTAATTCTTCTAAAAGCAATCAACAACCAGCCAATCGCGTTCACTCTCTGTTTAAAGCACCATTCACGATACTCGATGACACAGCTAGTCCATTTGGACAGGTTTCAAACGAAAAAGAGGGTCGAAACCGATTGAATGAAAGTCCAGTGACTGACCGACTAGTTCTGAATGAAAAACAACCGAACATATGGAGAGGGATGGAGAACATCCCTCGATATCATCGAATATTATGCGATCAGCTTCTTTCTTGATATCTTCGAAAGATGAAGGAAGAAGCCTCGACAGGAAGTTAGACGACGAAAATCGAGAGTTCGTACCGTGTTTGTTCACCGGTTTTCCCAACTGCACTCGAGTCGACACGCGTTTTACTCGAGAGCTCGAGAGCTCGAACGCGACTGAAATACAGAGAGAAGAAGTCCTTGTATTTCCTGACCGACCCCTTCTGCTGCGACGTGCGACGACGCTAGGCGGCTAGGCGTCGGGACGCAAGGTAGGGAGGCTCGAGCAACGTCCATCAACCGGAAACACGGATACAAAGTAGCTCGGAGTAGACCAAGGGAATAATACAACACGATGCTTTCCCTTAACCCTTTTGCTCTCGAGAGATACGAGGTAACAACTGACGACACTAAGAATTCGAAAGACAAAATATGGTGCTTGGTTTAAAGCCATTAAATATTTGGGTTAAATCAAGATTGACTTTGAGGAACTCTTAGATCGGGTGTACTGCTGACTGTGAAATTGTAAAATGGGTCACGGTCCGGTTGCAGAAAATACTTACTTATCGTTAGATGGTATTACATTCGATTCGCGTTAAGTTTCATCCATTAAGCAGGACGCTAAAACCAAGTTGCAAAGCAAATAACCCTAATGGAACTCGGTAAAAAACTATTGGACAGTTATTCGCCAAAAGTTTAAAGATCGATTCCCGCCTATTACACAACGCGTTGCAGCTGTGAATTCCGAGGTTTCAATAAAATATGCCCGCAGGGTCAAATATAAAAATCAAAGATTGGGCGTGGTGCAAGTCTGCTTTTGGTATAAACTTAACCATACCAGTGGGCGTGAACTTTCAGATAAGATAAAAACCAATGGATTAGGTCAGGATTGAATCTAAACAAAATCTAGGTCGCGTTTGGATCAACGTTATAAAACGAGGTCTGGTTAGGATCTATATAGGTTAGTATGGATGCGCACTGGAAGATAACAGCTTAATCGATTAATCAAATAATATTAATTAGCCACGAATACTCCAACTTTCTGCTTCTATTTCTGTTCCTATTCCTAATCCCGTTCCTTTTCCTGTTTTTCTTATATAATGACAATGATGATCATCGTTCAAAGGCACGGGAATTACTCGTCAGCCGGGGTGCTGCGTTCCCTTTTGTATCGCAAAATACACGAACGCAGAGAGTATGGGGAAGGAAAGACGGCAAAGCGTTCAGGCAGGCTAGGAATGACGAACAAATACCTACGACACACACGACCAAGCTACGAGAAACAGGGCAGAGGATGACTGATGCTGATGCTGAAGCAACCAGCCAGAACGGGCAAATATGAAGACAGAGAATGTAAAGATTGTACAAAAAAATCTCAGCCATTCGCGTGCCAAGTAGACCTGATTGAAACATCAGGACTTTCTGCTTTCGCGCTTTCGCGATAACAAGTTGTTGCTTCTTCTTTTCTTCTCTTTTTCGAGGAAACGTTTGTATCTATGTATATGTAATAAATTTTTCTATTTTTTATTTTCAACACACGTTAGTGTAATATTGTTCGAATAGGTTTCTTTGAAACGGGGAGTAAGCATCAAAGATGCAATTCAGATCTTTTCACTGGCAAAGCCTGTAAGAAGATACGAGCTGGCAACGACGAAATAATGGCAGTCCTTCGACGTCGAGCATAATAATCAGTACGCTTCAGCGGATTCTTCAACGATAATTTCCATGTACTTTCCCTGCTCGAGTATCTTTAGTGCATCTCGTGTAATTTGTATTCGAAGAAAGAAAAGCGTTTTATCGGCAATTAAATCTGGCTAGACGTACAGATTTCTTCATGGAAACTTCTACTTTCCTGTGTACTAGCAAAGTGTACATATTTACAAGATGATAACAGTGACTTAAAGGATTGTCAATATTATGTTTGAAACATTAACAAGCGTTTGACCTGTTAGTAACGATACGGTCTAGATAACTTCATTTGAATCTTGGAATAAAATTGATAGACGTTAGTAGAGATAAGCGCATGCTTCACACGTACATCCACGAGTCGAGAGCGAGAGATGGGTAGAATTATAAGCAACGATGAAACACGCGAGAAAATGTGTTTATTGATTAGAGGGGACTTGAATTTATTAGAAGTAATAAATGTGCATAATAATACCCTCCCACGCTTCACGCTAAACTGACTAAAATTTGTAACGCTATTTAAAGACTGACAGTAGTTGGGAAATGAATAAACGTAGGTAAAATAATGTCGAATCGTATTAAATTTATGGTGCCAGTCACGAGTGACCTCATGGCAGTAAACGTGTTAAACAGTTCCAGGAATTTCGTGCTTCAACTACTAGGTCATCCAGAAGCTTTTACTTAGAAATAAAGAGAGAATTGTACAATATACAATATACTAATGATATTAAACAGTATTTGAGAACGTAAGAATTTAATCTGATATCAGTATCCCTTTCGAACGTATTACAAAAGATACATTAACGCGAAATGCCAATTTAGCCCGAAAACAAACTGATCATCCCCCTGATCCTCTATCTATGGTAGAATAAAGTTGTACGAGCAGGATGAAAAGCGACAGACAGGACCCGCATAATTCGTGTGAGGTGGCACACGGTCGAAAGGAGCAGAGTGGAGAAAATTGGGAAACGCGGGTAGAGACGCGCATAGAAGGGCGGTGGAGTTGTAGGGCGCAGAGGGAGGGTAGACGGAGGGTGAGAGGGCAGCAATGCGACGGTAGTTGCGCCGCGACGCCGTGTGTCGGATCAGCTGTGAGCTGGCAATTCGAGTCAGCTGACTGGCCGGCCCCTCTGCTGCCACTCCAACTCTGCGACAATCAATATTCCACTCTGCCCCCGCGATTCTAGTCATGGCTACCTTCTTTCTCAAGATACACACTCTCTATCTCTAACATCTATCAAAACTAAACTCATCGTCACATACTTCTCAACTTCGTAATTCGGACTCTCGCGCTCTCAACCCCGCTCCAGCCCCTCTTTTCGATAACTCTCATTGTCAGTACAGTCTACCTGTGAGAAGTGCTTTGACAAACGTAGGAATATCATCTGATCGTATTGAAAATCAGTGTTTTTCAGTGATATTTTTCAAGTAAACGCTTGAAAACGGAAGTAAGGAAAGAAGGGTTGGAAAGTAGATCGTAACCTTGACTCGTCTGCCCTTTTACCGCAGCCTCTCCAGGCTATGCGAGTTTTAGCTCGAAGCACGAAGCACCAAGACACGGTAATGATGCATTTTGTAGAAAGCGGAGAAAACGCGTTGCGAAAGCCTTTCGAGATGTGTTCATCGCGTGTAGAGTCGACCGGGGCAAATAGGTAATACCCGAGGATCTTCGATTTCTTCCTTCTAATACTCGCAAAGAACCAACTGAGAATTCATGTTCTCGTTATAAGAAGCGAATCGAAGTGTGTTTGTCAGTGAAGGAAACTTTTGAATCAAGTTCGAGTATCAATGAATTCACTGAATTATTACGGTATGTAGTCGTATACTCTGCCGCAAGTGAAAAGGTTAATTTAAATATTATGCAAACGATTGCTTGGCTCAAACAAGAAGAAATCGTGAAACGAAGCAATGTGGATTCAATGTGGAGCAAATGGAAACGTTATGTTCCATTCGTGATATTTGTCGAGGAAAAACTGCATAATTTTATATTTTTATGCTCCTAGTATCGATACACTCGAGTGACATAGTTTTATTAATTACATCTTCAAGCTTTTCTTAACAATAAGAGAACTCAACCAACATATGCACGAACCTGTTTTATTCTGAGAGATACACCGATTAAAACTGTCCGAGAGATTAATTTCGTGCGTTCCATTACGCGCTGTACTTTTTATCGTTCAACACTTTGCAGAACGATCAATATCGCTCGTTTATCGTTAAATAAACGCAGTCAGGAAAGCGGGTACCATATGGTGGAGCATCGTTTTTCAATTTTCAGAACTTTGCCAACCACTTCAATTACACCACCAGCTACTTCGTTTACATATAATTACTTGCTCGAAGTTTAAGCCGCAAAAAAAAATGGCACTCCACGGTTTAATCATCGTGGAAAAAAAAATCAATACTAAACTTTATAGTAAACTTTATACAATACATACAGGCATTGGAAGGAAAATTAAATCGTTAATCATGATTTTAAATCATAGTGGAAATGTAAAACCTCTTACTGTTTCCAGCTGTTGCATTTTTAATTACAAGAGAGACTCAATTATTAACTCTGTTCAATGTTTCATAGGTAAAATTACAGCTGAATGAAATCTCTGAGGAGTGTTTCATTTTAATCAGCTGTGAGCTTAAAATTACCCGGGGAAAAATAAATTTATAATTTTGTATTGCGAAGAAAACTTAGCAGGAAGAACGAGTCGACAGAGAGAAAAAAATTTCAAAGTTCTATTCAACTATTTTGGCGAAATAAGTCCCCTAGAGTCTAAGTCCCATGCGTCGCCGACCTTTCGGACGGATCCTTGGTATCTACAACCAGTTGACGGAAGAAGAAACTTTCTCAGTCCCTATTCCACTATTTCCGTCCAAGTTTTAATCAACGATCACCCATGGAAAGCCTGCAAGTGATACGAGAAAATGCTGGTATACGGAAGAAGGGAGCCGTCGTTCCGGTTCGATGGAACGCTGTGTCGTAGAATGGGGTTGAAGTATGGTTTTAGGGACAATTAATGGCTGCGATTGTACGTAGAAAGGGAATATCGTGTAAACAAACGTAGGAAAAGTTCTGGTGGAGGCAAGGAGGAGTAGAGGCGCCTCTCAGGCGCCATTCATCCATCGATCGCGTCTCCTCTTCGCGTGTAATCCTGCCGAGCAGAAGAGGAAGCGACGGTGGCTGGCGCCGAATTTCGAAGTGCCATCCATCCTGTTAGCCTCGCACCAAGAAATGCTCGATTGTCTGGATAATTACGTAACTAAAAGATTTAAGCTTTGAAGATTAACCTTTGAAATCGTTTAATACCCGTTTAATACCGCTTAATTAAAATTCGTATATTAAATCTGAACGCGAAGATTTCAACAGCAATGGCAACCATTACCCGAAGAAGAGTTTTCTATGTACAACATTTACTACTCTCTACATCCTTCGCAGGGTTTCCTTTCTACAGGAAGACCGAAAGTCCATCAATCGGCTCGTGTTACGTGGCTTTCGTAAGATCACCACCCGTTTTTCGTTTCGCGAAACACGGAGAAAGCCTCGAAAGGTTTCACGCGAACAGAGGGTGGGTTCTATTCTTCGGCCAAAGAAGAAACCGATCGTGATACTTGTACTTGGAGGACAAAGCAAAGATTTCTTGGAGGGAAACGAGTTTGCGTATCGTAACCGTGGCACGTGAACGCAAAATGTGTGTCGAATCGATATCGGGAAGGAACTTCGAGAATGATTCTCCTCGGAAGAACGGAACGATCGTTCTCTACAATTTCAACCTTTTTTCCTTCCCCTTAAGGAAACAAAATATTTATTTATTTGATGTTTTCTAAAGATATTACCTTGTATCAGCTAAAGATAATCGTACATTGCACCTAAATTAATATTTTTAATTTAAAGGTTCGAAGTTTTAACTACGCTTTCGAATAAAACGAAAGACCGTAGATATAAGGCAAATCGCGCGAAGGGGTACTTTGCTTAATTAACCGTTTCGCTTACGTCTCGAATTTAATTTTAACCAAGAACCAACCACCGCTGCACCGCACCCCGGTCGGTCGACCGTATTCTTCTCGCAATTTCTTCAAGTCTTGGGTACCGGGTAACAAGCGTTGCATAACGTCTGAATTCTTTTTGACGCGAAGGAAACAATGATATCCAAGCATGGAACACTTTTCAGGAGTTTTAACACCGCTCGAGAAGATTCTTTTGTAGTCATTCTTATCCTTTGTCGTCCCCGTCTCTTCGTTACTCGTAACGGTCCTTCTTAAACACCCTGGCTACAGTAATTGACTAACAAAAAGACAGAAGAGTTGCTCGAAGAATCTTGCTAAAATTGTACAATAGCAGTAGAGTTCATCGTTATAATAATGCGAATGAAAAGAGATTTGCAATGACGTAAAGTGTCTGGCTGGTAAGAAGGATGAATTTTTATCCAGCTAACAAAGGGTCAATATTGAACCGTCAATTATTCCAGCGATGGAAATTTAATTCTGACGACACTCTATATCGAAGTCCGGATTGAAACCGCAACACAGCGTCGCATATTAATTTTGGCATCGATCTGACATTATAGAGGCGTGATGTTTCAACGAGCAGACCACCGTGAAAAGCAAACATTTACTTAACCTTAATGCCTATGTCACATTCCAACTCCTGGAAGAAAGGAGAGCAAGCGAACGTCGCCAATGTTCCGCGTCAATATCCTTTATTATTCAATGTCCTAACTCATTTTAACTTCAACATTGACCCGAAGTTAAACGCGTAATTTTTAAACGAATGAAAGTGAAATTCGAAACTGAAATTGAAATTTCATCGATGACTACATATGTATATGAACCGTCAGAGATTGCGAAAGATCAGCTTACGGGCAACCATGGTAACGAAAGGGGTTGGTAGACAGGGGTTTCTAGCGATGCGTTCAATTTCGAAGTGGAACATGGAGCTTTGCGTGGTTTCTCTAACAGTGTGTGCGTTTGACATAATAACTTGACGGATATGTGACGTCTCGGCTGGAAGCACGTGGTTAAGGGAGCGATACCACTCGTGATGGGCATTCGCTACTCTCTCCGTTTCAAATTTTCCAAAAAAATAATTAATACAGAACACTGTTAGCACGCTGAATACCACATGGAGGATAGACAAGCGTAGACAAGTTAATTCGGATTTTTGATAAATACCATAGCAATGCAGTCAAACTATCGCGAGAAATAGGAACATTGTTCCGTTAGCAACTAACCATTGAACAATGGCTTTTGGCGAGAAAGCTATTAGAAACAATGAAACATTGTTCCCGAATCCATGGATGTGCATTTACGTTGAACAATCGATGATGCAAAACAATTAAGCGATGCAAATGCTGAGAAGACTGTTATGTACTAAATTTCTTGACCATCAAAGGATCGCTTTCCAAAATAGAAATCTCTGTTCTCGAAGAAAGAGAAGCCTGACGAACATCACAGTACATACTTGTGTTGAATTCCTCTTGAACGCCAACTCTTTTCATTAATGTTCTTTATGTATAAATAATAGTGTAACATCGAAGGCCATAAGAAAAAAACCTGCTATGTAATGATATCATCAACCAGCCTACGTGACGACATTAAACAGAAAATATAGCTAGCCATTTGAAATTGCTGCTCTCGTATAATGGTCATTTAAATAAAGTTTTCATTATAAAAAGAAACAGCGTTTGAAGAAGGTAGAGATTTTATGCTCTGAATCTCGTAGCGGTGAAAGTTAACTCTTGGATGATGGATTGCTGGTACAGTGACAGTCTAAATTTAACTTCCGACTCTTCTCATTTTTACCTTTTATATTTTTAGTTTCGAAAGGTTTTGTGAAAAATTTATGTGTCCAACTTCTCCTAAAGCACCCATTGCGTACGTTTCATAGAAAAGATTGTAAAAATCGTTGAATTCGAACAGTTTCAATCCATCTGCATCGCAGAAACTCGTTTCAAAGATGCTGCTCGTTCGTTGGACGAGCGTTGAAGAGTTTTATAGCTGTTTCTACCGGACTGGGACAGGTTTGCTCGGAAGAAGCATATCTTCGCGAGCAACAGCGAACATAAAGCAGCGTGAACGAATACTTGTTCTTGGAGAGGCGCCATAAGCGAACGAAACCCCGGACAATAACACCGGTCGACGTTCCAACAAAACTTCTCCGATCTTTTCGTACTAGCGGATTTCTTGACCGGATTTCAACCGTGATTTTCATTTCTTTCGAAATGAATCGCTACGCTAATGAACTTGGAAATTTAAATTTACGCAATTTATAAGGAAAATTGCAGTTACGAAACTCCGGTGGAAAATTGCGATAATAGACGCGTCGGTTGAACTACACCCCATAAATATGTTTCTTAGATAGTTGCACCGACATAACGTCCAAGTTTTTTTCATTAAAAAATATTGGCCAGCCGCATACGGAGTTGGCCAGCGTCAGTTTTTTCCTCTCCCAGTGGAAATAAATTAATCTGTTGTATCAAAGTGACGTTTGGATGCCGAAAAATCTATTCGACGTGCCAACCAATTTGGCAATGTGATATCTGTGATCCATCAAACTCACGCTACTTTCATTTATCATAGAAGGTATAATTCCTTATGAAGAAAAAATAATAAAAAGAACGCGAATATGCTCTATAGTGATTTACGCTTGGAAAATTAAACTAGATAAAACTAATTCGTCCATCGTTTCTTTATCTAAACCCGTATTATTAATTATAAGTATTAATCTCGTTCCTGAATAAAATATTTCGTATTTCATTTCCAAAAATAATATTACTTTCCGGTTCGAAACTGAATCAATCCGAACAGCTGCGGATTCGGTTTGTCTCAATTAAATATACGTTTCATTTTGTTACTATTCTTGATTCGAGAAGATTTGGTTCAAGTGTAGTGAATTCGAAATATCTCTGACGCGATTCGGGATCCGATCTTGGGAAGATTTCATCATAAAGATCAATATTGCAATACTCAAATTTGGAAACTTGTTTTGCAACAAGCTAAATTGTATTTTACTTTGATTCACGTGAGTCACTTAAAAATTTAGAACCTGATCAATTACATGTTGCATTACGTAACACAACAAATTTATTTTTCCAGTTTGTTATTGCAATCGTGAATTACGATAGCACGAAGAATGTGCATCACGCGTTCAATGCCATTTGAATTTTCCTAATTGACGGAATTGTTACACTTCTAGCGGTACCAGCGAAAAATTCACTGATCATGAGACTTTGCGATGCTCTTTTTTTCAAGCCTTGTTATCAAGGCCGATAGGAGCGTTAATTCCTTCGGTACCAATTGTTTGCACATTGTCTCATCGTCAGTTGGCTCGTTGGCTGACGTGTCAAAAGCGATCTCTCGTTCGCTTGTTATCAACGCCGTTCAAACAATCCTCGAGACACACACACAATCAGCTTCGAATCTTCTTCACGTATTACTGACTAGGTATTCTATTACTATCTTTTTGCGTCCAATACTTGTTTTCAACTTATTTACCTTTTATTTTCAACTAAATTGTGTTAACCCTAAGCGATTCAAATACACCTCTTAGGCATCTCTAACTATTATTTATGAGATTAAAATTCTGCAAGCTGGCAAGTGGAAAATTTTAATTGGAAAATGAAACGGTATTCTAAATGATTAAGTATAACCACAGCGTATCGTGCCACATACGGTCGGTTTCACTACTGTATTAAACGCGTTAATAATTCGTATTAAAGTGTGCCAACTAACCAGCCAAAGAATATTGGAAAGGATTTCTCTCGGACAACACGTAACGCACACAACAACATCAGCAACTAACCTGCAGAAACACGTGACGGTATCTTCGACGTCGATGGAGAAAGAAGTATCGATGGCCGAGTATTTGAGCACCTTTCTATTATTTCCCAGACCAAACATCGAACCGATCCACAAGAATATGCACCAACTGGCTTGCTATTAATAACAAACAATATGGAAGAACGGAAGAGAAGGGAAGACAGGAAGGAGATATAAAATGGTGAATAAAAGAAAAAAAAAAAAAAAAAAAATAAGAAAAAAAAAGAAAGGTGTATGGAGAAAGGAAGAGGGGATACGCGATGATTTCGAGAGGAGACACACAAGATTTCAGTGATCAGAAATACATGCAGAGGCAACGAAGAACGAGGCACAGACTGACGGTACCGTTCTCCAGGCGTTCGCCAGGTACCAGCGCCGCGACCGCTATCTGCTATCGGCCGACACACCACGATAAACGGAGAAAGCAACTCGCGGTCGTGACGCTACCAGCAGGAGTGGGGAGTAATGCAGTTGGAGGGGAATACTGGCGGTCGTACAAGAGTCGCAAACGGAGAAAAAAGACGCATGGATAAAAGGAAAAAGTTGAAGGAAATGTACATTGCCCGCCTGGAGTAACAGGAGACGGTACAGTCAGTCGTGTATCGATAGGAAAAGTAATGAGCAAAATGAAGAAGAAAACTTTGCGCACCTGTACTAACATGTGGAAGATTCTACGGTGGATCATGTATTGACAGAAGAAATTTACTAAGTATAAAAGGAGAAATGAAGAAAACAGACATCGAACACCTGGGGTAATAGATGATGCTGTGTAGAAAAATATGAAAGCAAAATGTATGAGAATGAAACAGAGGGAGAAAATCTCCGCACAAAGGGGCTTCCTCCCTAAGGACGGCGCTTCTGTCTCTCTGTTTCCCTCTTCTTCGTTCCTCTTCTCTATCCTTCATCTTCCAACATCATTTACAGTATCTCTCTTTCTATCGTTCTAATGCAATTACCGGAGAAACTAGCGATCAGCGAAACCGAACAAGTTCTTTCGCCTCGGCATTCGCGGCGTACCTGTTCTTTGGCGTCGCGGTGCGTCGCGACGTACGATGACCGAACCAATTTCCCCAATATGAGGTCGAAGAACGAAGAGACGCGGTGGATGTTACAAAAGAATTTCAAAGAAATCCTTTCCACAATTGCTAACGTTAATTTACTATCAATTACTATGAAAATATTAAATGCAACTTTGCTTCGATACGTTTTTATATTTAAATATCAGACAATATCAGAATACTTTGTTCGAGCGCGATTTACATTCTGGGATAACACTGAATTTTCATTTGTTCTCGATACATAATGAGCAGGTAAAAAACAGAGACGTAAGAATAATATTTCAATTCCCAAGTGAATATAATTACAGTGTTATCAATAATCGATTGAAATAATATTGGTTTCTTTAATAATAACAGAAACCCTAAAATAATTTCTAATTTTTTCATTTCCATAAAAAAATTAATTTATACACACGCAAAAAAAAACAGTGACGAGGTTGAAATGAAAACTGAATCTCCTCGAAAATAAACGTGAAACGAAAGTAACTTTGTTTGCGAGCAACAACATACATAAACTGGTATCACGTTACTCGAGTGTACGTGCATTATCGTGTGCTGATATACGTATTTTCTGGACGAAGAAGTAGGCGCAACTGGTTCACGGGCTTCGAGCCGCAAAATACGAAAGGTTAAGGCCAGTTCTGGCATGATATTACAATGTTTCATAACCTATGATATAATTGCAAAATAAAGTATTATTTTATCCAAGGTAATCCTGTGTCGAGCAGTGACTTTTATCCAACAAAAACTATAGGTATACTTAATTGCATAAATTATTAAGATTAATTGTAAATTTATATAAAAAGTACTTGGAAACCTTGAACGACACGGGCCTCCCTGCAGACCTTGCGCGTTATGCACCGCGGCGCGGATGCAACTGATTTCCTCTGTCCAAAATCACTGTTTATACATATTACATATAGATCCCGGGAAACGCAACTATCCAATCAGCATCGAGCGCGCGTAACGTACCTAGTGATTTTCAATTTTGCTATCTACGCTACGCGATCTTCTAAAGTGTTTTTCCTATTACAAAATTTAATTATTCTTAACCCAAAGTATTATTTTATTAAAATGTAAGCCTTAATGTTCCTTTTAGGAATTTATAATAAGACTTCTTATCAGCAAGATGGAGTTAAAACCTGCTATTGCTAAACAGGTCACGATTGCATTTCAAACGAACATTGAAAAAGAAAAAGATGAAGAAAAAAAGGTAGGAAAAGGAAGAAAAAAAAGAGAGGAGTAAGTACCATTTCTCTGAAACGGAGCTGAAATTATAGAACAATTCGCAGGCGTTCTTAGAGAAGAAGGGCGAACTCGTGAAAAGTGGCTCGATGTGAACAACGGCGACAAAAAAGGTGGAGTGAAACGACGCAAAGTAGTCCAGAAGACGTATCGGTTATCGATAAAAATTCTATCAAATGAATTACGAGAAACCTGAGCAATGGAAGCGTCGACGGAGCGAAAGGTGGAACAGAGAGATATCGAACATGAAACGTGCTACGCTGTCACAGACCAATTCGGTTATCTCCTTCATAGCGACACGATAAATATCGACGCTAATTAATTTACTGGCTCACGCTGACTCGAATTCGTGGGAAAATGTGCGAACCATCGCTGACAGTAGCGAAAGGACTAAACCTTGTAAATGTGCGACGTCCCTGGCGCTCTATACGATAAAAGGAAAGAAAAAAAGAAAATCCAAATTTCATGGAATTACATAATCCCACGGTTTATTACCGGGGCTTACATAAGTAAAATCTTTTTATTTCGATTCCATATAAAGGCAAGAATCTAATCGAATTTGTGGCAAACATTACGCAACTGTACTACTCGTACCTGTTTACATTCGAAACGGGAAGCTTTGGTTCGAGGAAATCTGTGAAAATTGCGACACGATGCACCGCGAAAATAGGAACGGGTCATGATCGTTGGCGACGTCAATTATTTTAGCCCGTCTGCCCGTGAATCGAGCGACATTTATCCATTCACGAGTACTCTTGCCAACGAACGTCGCGTCGCGTCGAGCGACATTACCGTGAAAAATGAACGAAAAGATAACGAGAAGTTGGCGATGAATGTCAAGTAAATACAACATTGCCGACTAGGGACGATTATGTGCTCTAACGCGTCCTACGGGAACACTGTTCTCCGTTTCAGGATTAAGATGGACCGTGATACTCGGTTAACCTCTACCTTATCCTCTCGTAAGGACAACAACTTTTAGTCTATCCTGTTTTTCTTCATCTCTGGGGAGCTAAATTGACCGAATCACCTTTTTCAGGATCTATTAGAAATCCAGCTCTTGAATTTTGGCTTACAAAACTTATTACATTTGATCGTATCATGGGACAATACGTTACAGGATACATTTTCAAACGTTAGGAAGGAAAGTTACTTTGTTAGAAGTATGGCGTATAAGACGATATTACGCGATAAGTTTTTGTTTGCGGAAAGGCGACAACGCACACGGTACCAGCATATGTACGTACACGTAAGCTTGTGTAACACTGTATTGTTAGCAAAAGCTGCTATCGTCGAAACTTTTGATAAAACTACTTTATCTGGCCAAGCTGTATAACTTTGTCGACCGTGGATTTATTTAAAGAATACAATGCGCCGCGACGTTTTATATTCTACTCACGTACGCGGTGTTCAACAACCTACATCTAACCCGGCTATTATCTTACAAATATAATTCTTGGTTCAATCTAGTAATACTTGGACGGTATTAATAATATGTAATCTGAATGAAAAGAAAAACTAATGTCGATTAATCCTTTCGCGCGAGTTCTTCAACGAGCTTCTTCATCGACATCATCGATACATATTATTTTCTATCAAATAAAATGTTTCTTTTATTTGTTCGTTAAACAAAACGAATGAAAACCATTTCATATGCGGTATAAATAGCCCAGGGAAGAAGTTACCGCAATTTCCACCAAATTAAATAAACTTTCTGGATAAAACTAACCAGGAAGCGGTGAGTGTTAACGGTCGAGGCACGTGTGGCAGGAAACGGCACGGTGTCGCAGATGCTCGGACGTTTTGGCGAGCGAAGAATTCGCGCGTGATTCACCGCGAAGAAGCCACGATCTTGTCGCGAAACAGCAACGTGACTCATCGCTCCGCTCGGTTTCAAGCCAGCGATCACACTATGTACATACATATTTCTATGACTTTTCCGCGTTACCCTGTCCGCGTAAACACGAGCAACCGATTGAAGTGTTTCCAGTGTATGTACATACACGACCTGTATACACGCCCACTGACTGGCCACAATCACCCAACCATTGTCTTCTGTTTTGCTCGAGAGATCTCTGACGATGAGAGAGCAACGTTTCCTACTACCCTACCCTACCACCTTTAACGAGCACCATACAAAACCATTTACCCATTTGCAATTGACCAATATACCGATGAAATACATTATTAACCCTCTATAGGACAGGTACATGGAGCAATGCCAAGTTAAGGAGGTAGAAACCTTGCTATCTAAGGAACTAAAAATCCTGCCATTGAAAATCATAAGCACCAATATTATCTGAATATTTCATTTAATTTTGCAATAAATCTTAATTACCTGTTCACTATGGAAATCAGATTTTCCGCGAATAAAGTGCTCTTTGTTTTGCTTGTAACTTTTTGTCGATGTCATGCTTTAATGACTCAATACGAACCGATATAAAATAAAGCAATCATTAGTTAGCTGGAAATGAACGTTACAATTGGAATAAACGGGAAGGTCACCCCGTATAGAATCAGTAACGCCTCTTTATTCTTATTTTTCTCCTATCGACAGACGAAAAATAATAGGAATAAGATCAATCACAGAAACAAGGGTCCTTTAATAGCTTCTAATTGACGCAGTTGAACTATTGCTCGTTCAGAAAACATTCAAAGAAAAAAGAATAGAAATTCATTCCATCTCCTTAAGTCCATCTGATGGTTTAGAAGAAAAAACACATTTCATACATGGTTCTCGTATATAAGCCTTGTTTCTATGGGTAAATACATAATCGTTTCACGCACTGTCAGCGCGTGAAATTAGTGCAGCAGTCTTGAACCGCTTACAATTCATCGACACTGTTACATTTATTTTTTATTAACCCTTAATCGGTATGGTCAGAGCCACCCCTATGGGGTCCAATTTGATATTATATCAATTATATAATAAAATCTTTTTCAGATGCTAGAAGTGACTCTGATTAAGGGTAGTTCCTATATGTAAACACGCAATAACGATACGCGATAATATTATCACAGGAACAACGATACAGGCAAGCTGTTTTATCGTAAAAATTCGATAAAAGAACACGCTTCGCTGATTTATCATGATTGACAAGAATTTTTGAAAAAAAAATTTATTAACAATCGTTATCGATTGAGATACGAAAGTTATAAGGACACAAGTGTCGACATTTTCTTTTCTATTATGTTGGTAGCAAAGAACACACCTGAAATTCATATAACTTTCAATTTTGAAATTGAAACAAGAATCTGAATCGTGATATATTGAAAATCTAATGTTAACACAATAAATATATTATATTATGCTATACCACATGATAATGATCTGATTTGACAGGTACTCATAGAATTGAGCATGTACTCTGGGTCGGCCCTGCATGTACTTATGCAGGAATTGAAAATAGTATTTCTCCATTTATTTCCTCGGCAATTGTAATGTTGCAATTTTATGAGTAACTGTACATCAGACACAATACCGAACGTTTCCGAACATGACAAGCACAAATAAACATGTACTACACGTGTCAAAGAGAGAAATATAAGGGTAACCTGACGCATGTTCATTTTTAAATCTACGCAAACAGGTAATTCGGTTCTATTTCTACGAGTGTCCAACAGATAACCTAAAAACTGAACAGACACAATACTACCTTGTTTTACGGTCTAACTACTCTATCCCAACGAATAACATCCTTATTCAACCCTAATAGATATTTTTCGAAGACATCACGACGCGTGAAATCGACAGAAAAATAAAAATCACTTGAATTGGTAAACACAATACCATTCAATATACACACCAAGGCTGCTTAAAATAATAATACGTTTCGTCCTTATCAGTTTTTATCGGAAAGTAATATAATTAACATTTACGTAACTAATGTCCAAGTAAACCGTGTATACTTCTCGTTTCTTATATATCGTAGAACAAAAAAAGGGTAAAAAATAAGAAATCCGATAAAGGTAAGACGAGTTGTTAACGTTTGACGTGTATAAGTTCGATCCTTTTCTCACGCGTTTCTTCAAGACGATCGTTTCGTATAGGAATATCGATATCCTTGACTGACGACGATCTTTTAACCTTGTTTTAACGACGGCCAATTGACACTGTCATTGTCAGTAATTTTTCACGAAAATACGACGCACGAAAGCAAGTACGACGGAAAACAGGAAAACAATTCGCGCCCGAATGACAGTATTCTATCCACGCGTTTATTTCGCGATTGTAGCGGATCAAATTTGGAATGACATCTCGCGAATCGATGCGATTCAATTTCACGACAATAAAAAAAGTCCTACGATATACTTTCCTTTAGAAAACAAAAAAGAAAAGAAGTCGGACAACTGGGAATTAAGAGCGAGACGAAGTAGCGAACCGTATCGAGAGAGCGTCAACCTCGAAACAGGGAGGTTAGGGCCATCAACGAAACGTCGAGGTTAACCTTTCCTTTTTTCCCCCCGTCACTTCGATGATTCTGTTGTCACGGATAATCGCGGGTCAAACGTGAAAATTTTTGTTCAAAAAAAAAAAAAAAACAACTTACCCCATAAACCAGTCCACGGTATCGCGGAGATACTCGGGTAACCTATCCAGCTTGGATGATTTTCAGTTGGATCACCGCTGAGGAAAGTAGCACGAGAGTCGAGAAAACAAAATAAATTCTCTCACTCTCCACTAGCACCAACAGCAGCAGCAGCAGCAGCAGCGGCGCACGTTTCGCGATCTCGTAAAATTTAACATGGCGAAGCTCTATTGTCACCTGTTCCCGTCATGCCTCACTTGCTTGACCCCCACCTTCGCCCGAAAAATACGACCGATTTATCGCCGCCACCGCGTAATGTTCTTTTCCCTATTTCTTACTTGTGCTCGTTCTCTCTTTGATGCACTATCAACGATTCTTTGTCGATTGAAAGAACGCAAAACACCACACAACGGTGAAACCACGTCAAAAAACAGCACAGCTGATCACCTAACGTTAGAACGAACTCACTTGCACACCCCCGTTTTACTACCTGACTGCAGAGGGTAGTACCTACCGCGCGTCTTATTTACTGACAGATAGTTCTCGACCCAGCCACGAACTAGTAATAGACAGATGGTAGAACATATTTCTAGTCGATAATGCCGACCGTTTCAGATTTCTGTAGTACTCTATCGATTTCTCAGAAGAATACGCTTGTTTTGCGCAGTTCAATCATAGACAAGGTATAGAATAGAGGTATTAATCATTTAACGAAAGAACATACCTGTTTCGCGAAGCTCAGAGAAGCCCTCTACTGTTATTACCTCTAACTTCGTGGCACTTCGCAGTCGTATATAGGGTGGACAAGAACCGACAGTTCCTAGAAAAATCCCTAGACGCGAGTTCTCAAATTACGTCGTCATTTCTAAACAGAATGCAAAAAAATATGAGGGACATGTCTAGGAGGCCCTAAAGAATGGTAGTCTGGTCCTTATATTATCCAAATCGTCAAAAAATTATAAAATATTGAAATTTATGTGTATCAACCGTCAAGAAAATGGCGGATCGGACTCACCTGCATCAATTTATTCGTAAAATAAACACTTCTGCCAATAGTTTGTCCAAATGGGTACCACCCAAGGGATGATGTATAAGTGTCCAGGAAGAAGTAATTTGAGAACTACGATTTCGTTGATTGTTCATTCGCGAAAGACGTCAAAAATGTAAAACAGACCACAAATTTAGTTCCTCGTTTTTTCTGTAGGGCGCAGTTCGTTCGTTCGATTGATTATAATTTTTGTACATACATACTACATATTAATATTTCGCTTATGCATACATTGCACATAAGTGTCAAAATTTATATCTGAAATAATATGTTCTTAAATATTTCGTATCAAAATCACGCCATAGGAAAGTGTTATTAAAGCAATATTCCCCTTTATATATTACATAATTACAATAGTATAAAATATAATACAAGACGGATTTTTTCGCTGATATTTATTGTATGAACGATTGCATTACGATTAGCATTACAGTTTCGAAACTTCTACCAATGGCTGTGATTGGTTGCTTCATTCGGCATCCTTTCATTTCGACCAATCAGACACATCGCTGTGTGAGCGAGTGCGTCGATTTGTGACGCAGTACAGCATTCCTCTTCGAAGCTTCGTTTGTCTTGCACGTGTCTGCAACAGGTAAGATTAAATTATCTTCAAATATTAAATTAAATTGTCTTTCCGGTGTTGAAAATACAAAAAAGAGAAAGAATAGCCGAAGAGAAGTCTAGCTCTTTGTTTTTTGACATTAATTCGAGGTTATCTTTAAAAATACGTGAGTTGAAATTTTTTGCTCTTGCCGTGAATTGACGATGAAGTTGAAAGAACAAAATCTGAATTATTTTCCCTTTATATCAATCATTTTTCGAATATTATTGCATTTTTTCATGTTTTTAGTACATTTTTCCCGTAATTTATTATTATATATCGTGATAATTGATTTTCTCATTTTTTACTATTACGTCGATATAGATACGAATTAAATTAGATACATTTCCTTCATTTATTCTGCTTTTATATCCATAATTTTTTAAATCCCGTCAATATCTTATATTTTTTCTACTTTGTTTCTTATATTTTGGTGTTTAAAGTTGAGAAAAGTAATCTTGATTTTATTTCAATATGGCGTCGATAATTTTTAACGAACCTTTCCCTTACGATTAGTATTAAAGTTTCGAAGCACTTTGAAACTTCTATCGATGGCTGTGATTGGTCGTCCCATGTTGGCGTCCCCTCATTTCGACCAATCAGACACGTCGTTGTGTGAACCAGTGCGTCGATTTGTGACGCAGTACAGCATTCCTCTTCGAAGCTTCGTTCGTCTTGCACGTGTCTGCAACAGGTAAGATTAAATTATCTTCAAACATTAAATTAAATTGTCTTTCGGGTGTTAAAAGTACAAAAAATAGAAAGAATAGCTGGAGAGACGTCTAGATTCCTGATTTTTGATATTAATTCGAGGTTATCTTTAAAAATACAAGAGTTGAAAGTTTGTGCTCTTGCCGCGATTGTACAATGAGGTTGGATCAGCAGAATTTGAATTACTTTCCCTTTTATATCGTTAATTTCCTAACCAATGATGAACGTTTTTAATATTGTTTCACACAATTTACTGTTTGATATTTAATAACGTTCTTTCTTGAGCATCGTAATATTATGAGATCTGTTCGTCTACCGGCTTCGGTTCGGCTGGGGACGAACATTACCGAATAATACCGAAGCGGTGCCGACCGGTCTTCGTCGGGAAGGAAGGTCTCGC